GCACGACGCCCTGCTTCTTCAGGTTGGTCTCGTGGATGCGCGCAAATGACTTTGTCAGCACGACGCGAGCGCCGAGGTACCGCGGCTGCAGGGCGGCGTGCTCGCGCGCGCTGCCCTCGCCGTAGTTGTGCTCCGCGACGACGAGCCACTCCTGTCCGCGCTCCTTCCACAGCTGCGCGAGCTCGGGGATGGTGTGCTTGGAGCCGTCGACGTCGTAGGCGGCGTTGACCTCGCCCGTCTCCTTGTTCACGGCCGTGTTGAGCGTGTTTGTGCTGATGTTGGGCAGGTGACCCTTGTACTTGAGCCAGGGGCCCGCGGCCGAGATGGTGTCGGTAGTGCACTTTCCGGTGACCTTGACGAGGACCTTGAGGCCGCTTAGGTCGCTCTCGGGGAAGGGCGCAAAGGGCTCGAGGAAGGCGAGACGCTCCGAGGTCGGGGCGATGGCGATCTTGACGTCGGCATTGGGCTCATCGGGCGAGATGGACTGGAGGGACGCGACGCCGGACTCGAAGGGGGTTTTGGGGTTCTCCAGGCCGCGGGGAGCCTCGAACTTGAACTCCTTTCCGTCGGGGGTCTGCAACTTGTCCGTCATGGGGTTGAAGGTGGTCGCACCGGCGTAGGCCATAGCAGTGACGATCTCAGGGGAGGCGAGGAAGTTCATGGTGCCGGGGTTGCCGTCGTTGCGGCCCTTGAAGTTACGGTTGTACGAGGTCAGGATGGCGTTCAGCTGGCCCTTGGGGATGTCGTCCTGACGCTTCCACTGGCCGATGCATGGGCCGCAAGCATTGGAGAGAACGATACCACCAGCACCCTCCAGAGTCTTCAGAGTACCATCGCGCTCGAGAGTAGCGCGAATCTGCTCGCTTCCAGGGGTGATGTAGAATGGTGCCTTGGGCTTCAAGCCGGCCTTCTCGGCCTGCTTGACCATGCTCTCGACCTTGGTCATGTCCTCGTAGGAGCTGTTGGTGCAGCTGCCAATAAGACCGGCGGACAAAACTTCAGGCCATTGCTCAGTCTGAATGGTCTCCTTGAAAGCGGACAAGGGGGTAGCCAAGTCGGGGGTAAAGGGGCCGTTGATGTGGGGCTCGAGCTCAGAAAGGTTGATCTCAATGACCTGGTCATAGTGGGCATCCTCGTCAGCTCTGAAGTTGAAGGCTGACCACTTCTTGTATGCGTCCAGCGCCTTGTGTTCGGCCTGTCTGCGGGTTTGAAGGAGGTAGCGTTCAGAGGCGGCCGTGTAGGGGAAGATGGAGGTTGTAGCGCCGACTTCGGCACCCATGTTGCAAATGGTGGCCATTCCGGTAGCGCTAAGAGTCTCAACGCCCTCGCCGAAATACTCGACGATAAATCCGGTTCCGCCGCGCACAGTCAACTTGCCGGCCAGGTTGAGAATAACGTCCTTGGGGGACACCCAGTCATTGAGCTTGCCGGTCAGCTTGACTCCGAGCACACGAGGGGCCTTCAGCTCCCAAGGAGCACCGACAAGCGCCTCCACGGCATCGGCACCACCAACTCCGATAGTAATAGTAGAAAGGCCACCAGCGTTAGGGCTGTGGCTGTCGGTTCCCAACATCATGATACCGGGAAGAGCGTAGACCTCCAAAACCGTCTGGTGAATAATGCCTGCACCAGGGGGCCAGAAGTCCATGCCATACTTGCGTCCGGCAGACTCGAGGAAGTCGAAAACCTCCTTGTTCACGCTGATGCCGTCCGTCAAATCGCTCTCGGCGCCCTTGGATCCCACAATCAAGTGGTCACAGTGGATGCTGGCAGGAATCGCAGGCTTCGCAAGGTTGCAGGACATGAACTGCAGCAGCGCCATCTGTGCCGATGCATCTTGCATGTTGACTCGGTCTGGGTTCAGCTTGAGGTTGGCACTGCCGCGGATATTGCGTCCATTGTCCGTGTTCGTGAGGAGCGAGTCCTCGACGTTGTCCAGATGACTGTACAGGATCTTCTCGGCGAGGGTGAGGCGCTGCTGTCCGAGGACATGGCGGACCTTGAGGAGATTGTCGTGAAGTCTGCGGTACGTGTCGGGCTTGATAGACTTGGGGAGCAGCTTGCGCATCTCAGCATCTTGCTGCTCAACGTCCTGAGCGGTCGCGAATGTCCTCCTAATCGGCAGGCTCGAGGATGCGGAAAGGCATGGTCGCGTGCGAGTCAGAAGCCGCTACAACCTCGTCAGTTTCTCTTTTCTCTTCTCACTGATTGAAACACAGTCATTCCTCACCCTCACGGCGCCTCCTGATCGACTGGCAAGCTCAATTGGTGCCATCGTCACTGAGCACCTCTCACAGGTTACTGTGAGTCGAACTTGGTGGCGGGGTGTGATGTGGAATTTTTTGGGTTGACTGTTGGCGACATCGGCACGTAAGATCCAATTGGAAAGACTCAATTGAAAAGCCGGTGCACGAGTCCGGGGGAAGTTGCACCTAGTGGAGGTCATACGCCCAATCCCTGCTCTGCCGGCTTCGCTCCGAAAACTACACCGGGAATAGCTGCGCCGAGGTAATGCCCCTGCACAGTCAACCTGCACGGTCAACCCAGACGGTCCAGCTCAGAGCCGCTTCGCCGAGGTGCTCACTTTCAGTGGAAATGTCACCAACAAAAGGTAAGCTCAATATGAACTTGTGGCCTATCAACCTTTCTACTGGCTGAATTTCAGACGGTAATAACTATGCAAAGAAACAATTTCCCCTATCCCAGATGCTTATCTATACACAACCCTTGAACTCCTATGTCACTATGTTCCCATCTGTCGATGCCCCCATGGTGCTGCTCTACTGATCGTACTCTGAGCTCTTCGTGCCAATGAAACCCTCGTTTCTCTCTCTTCTCCGCCGGCCCATGACCTCCTTGTACCACTCGGTGAGGGTATAACCCCAGTGGCCGGCAACCAGAACACCACTGATAACGTTGACAATCTTCATCAAGAACTGGAGGAAGCCGTCTCTGGACTCTTCCACGGATAGCAGAATGGGCTCAATGTCGTACTTGAAGAAGATACCGGGAATGTTGTGGTCATCGGTCTCCTTGCTCTGTTCTGTAACGGCATACTGGTTTGTGGAGATGAGGTTGGACGACGAGTGGCCGACAGAGTAGACGGTGGGAACCACGGACAAGTAGTACTGGAACTTGTGGAAGTTGATCCTGGCGAGGTTGACCGTGCGATCCAGGGGATTCACAAGCGAGGGGTAGAATGGACCGAAGGACATCTCCGAAATGATGTGTGAGAAGTTGAAAGCTGAGTGAAAGTGTGAGCCAACGCGTCAGGACTGAAGCCCAAGATGATCAACTTACCGGCATGATCCAAATGCTCCCCAAACTCCATGTAGCCGTGGCCTCTGGCGGTGATGTGGAAGTCACCCTGCACTCTGTTTACATCGAGGTTGCCGTAGATGCGGCAGCTGTCGCCGTCGCCCCAGAGCCTGGGTGTCTTGGCCCATTTGGCCCTCTTCTTGCTGAGCGACACGATGTCGTGGACGTGCTCCTCCCCGAAACCCTCCTCCTCCTGCCAGCCGGCGCCGGTGTCAATCTTGCCCTTGCTGTCTCTCCCCAAGCGGTGGATTCCCTTGCTGTCCACCCACTGAGACCAGTTGGTCTTGTCGCGCTTGAGCATGCTGCTTGCGAGAATACGATCACCCGCCGCATCTTGAACGTTGATGTGAAGGTCATCGCAGTGCATGCGCACGACAATATCCATGTTGATCTGCATCTCGTGCAGTACACCCTTCTCGACGGCAAAAGTGTGCGTCTCGGTACCACGCCACCAGCGACCAAGTTCAGACCAGAAAAGGAAGACTGATATGACCGTCATCGCGACAGTCCATTTTCCACCGCCAGCTGTGCGCGTCACATACTGTGGTTTCGCCTTGGCTAAGGAGACAGGGCTGTTAGCACATGGCTATTCTGGCAATCATTCCCGCCACGTTGAAAGGCAGCGGCACTGAGGAGGCTTGTATCTGGAAAATTGGCAACTTACGAAAGGCATCGAAAGCGCTGACGATGTTCCCCTTCGCCCCAAAGGCGTCGTCGTCCAGGTGCTGCTTCTCGTCCCAGCCGTTCATCATGACGGTCTCAGATGACGTAGATCGAACAATTGTTCAGAACCAGTGATGTTGCCAGCAAAGAACAGTCGTCAAGTCTTCGGCAGTTCGTGGTCGGGCACTCGAGTTCGTCGCTGATGAAGCTGGTCGCGTAGCCAGTAACGGCTCCTCGATGCGAATCCTTTCGGCTTGATGCAAATGCTCGCCGTTAAAACTTAGTTCCGCTACCGCATGCCTCGTTTCCGGAACCTCAATTGTAAAGGAAAGTCGTCAGTGTCGAAAAAGAACGATATTGTCGAGAATTGGCTTCGCGCAAGTTGGTCAGACCTCTCGGCGCAACTCGTGAAGTGGGAGAGCCTACTGCAGAAAGTCTTAAGGACACTCTATCCAAAAGTTGTCCGCAGTTCGGGCCCCCTGTCCAGGGGTCCTAGAATGATTGGTGCTGGTAACAGCGCTGGTGGGCTAGGAGGGGCGTGTGCATTGGGTCTTGTAACAGGGGTGCGGTTACTTGCACATGCGGAGACATTGCACTGAATAGCGGGCAAGACCAACTGGTCATGATAAGAGGCACATCGCCATTTTCGTGGTTCACTGGTGATTCTTAAAGCAGATTTGTTATTCGAAAAAGCTGTTAAAGCTACGGTTCATTGCTTCCTAAAACCTACAAGTACCAATCTGTAATCTGTCATGAAGACTCATGAAACGAGCGTCGCCTCGACCTAACCTGAAAGATGAGTTGCCAGTAGCTCGCGTTTTCCGCTATTGAGAAGGCCTGCCGGCTTTGCTTATGCCACCTCCAGCTACCGGTTCACTCTCTTAAAACCAGGTTCCAAATGAAATCAAATAACCCCAGGCCTGATGAAATGAGACATGCAAGGAAACCCAAACCCCCGAATACACCACCGATCACTCCTATTCCAATGGTTAAGCAAACCCAGAAAGATCTCAAGTACTTCACTTTCTGAGTCTTCGCTGCTGCTCCTCGGAGAATTCCTCGTCAGAGGCATCCAGGATGTCGTACTCCTCGTCGGTCATGAAGCCGTCATCAGAAGCATCCCAGTCCTCTTCTTCGCCGCAGTCCTCAAACTGCTCAGCCTCTGAACTGGTCGCACGAGCGGACTCGGACTTCACCTCCTGGTGGATGCTAGAGACAGGGGATTCCTTCTCGAGCTTGGGGAAAATCATGGTGCTGCTCTGCATCTCAGTGGGGATCTCCTTGGGCTCTTGCTTAGGCTCCTCAAGAGCTGGCTGAGTCAACTGAACGCTGACATCGCACCAGAGTCTGTGACCAAACTTCAAACCATCCTTGGTTGTCAGGCGCCAGTAAGAGATTATCTTGCCCTCGCGCGCAGGTGTCCGGAGGAGGACATTGAAAGAGAACTCCTGACCAGGGGCGAGCGGTGCATAGCAGACAGTTGACTCTGAGGCAGAAACGAGCTCAGAGATACCGGCCGGGTGGTTCGAGTCGACGTGGCCCATGTAGTCGCCACCAACGAACTTGACTGAACATCCAGCAGGCCATGCAATATCGCCGTCGTTGCGGAGGACCCATGTCTGCTCAAAGACGTGGTTGGGCGGCAGAAGAGTGCCATCAGCGACCGTATCGCGGACAAAGACAGCCTGAAGATCCTGCTCGGAAAGGGGCTTCTCAACAATTGGCACGGTCTTCTCCTCGGCCACCTCCTCCTTGACTTCTACCTTGGGGGTCTCCTCGACAACCTCCTCCTTGATAATCGGCTTAGCTTCAGGTTCAGGAGTCTTCTCGACAACCTCTTCCTTGACAGCCGGCTCTGTGGGCTTCACATCCACAACGGTCTGTGGAACGTTCATGGAAGCGTTTGCGGTGGTCTCAGTAGAGCGAGAGCTAGTGCGGCGAAGACTGCGGTCGCCCATCTGCTGCATACGCTGTCCATCTCCACGCTCGCCAGTAGTGGTAACAGTGACGTGACGGACTGGAGTTTTGAACTTGACGAGGGGATGGGTCTTGTTGTGGGTGTTAGCAGGGCTAGCCTCACAGTTGGCACAGAAATCAGTGTCGTGGCAAACAGTGCACTTGTATCGAACGCCAGAGATGTAGGCGGGTGCGTTGTAAGTGCGGGCGCACAGGGGCCCATCGCAGCAGATACCAAAGTGCACAGAGCGGCTGACGGCACGGCTGCGGACCTCCTCGAGAGGCTCGTAAATGGGAACGAAGCGGTGATTGGGGTGAACAAACTTGGAGTTCACGATGCAGTCAGCGCAGTAGTCCCAGTCGGGGCAATCGAGGCACTTGTGGCGGACACCAGCAATGTATTTGTCGCAGCCATCGCAAATGGCATTGTGGCTCTGGTTGCGGCCAGGAGCCAGCTTGATCTGAATGTGGCTAGGGACGTGAGCACCCTCGACGGCGGGGACGAAGGAATGCTTGGGGTTGTGACCATGGGAGTCCTTCTCGAAGCATGCGTGGCACAAGTCGAAATCCTCGCAAGCTGCGCAGTGGAGGAAGCTGGACTCTGGGAGTTCCGTCACACAGCAGTTGCAGGTGCGCATGCTGTACAGCGCAGTGTTGAAGACTGGACGAAGGAGCTCACTGATGTTGGCGGGTGCCCTGGGAGGCTCTGGAACCGACTCCTCGACCTTGGCCTTGGGCTTTGGTGCAATCGTCTCCGTAGTGCTGTTGATGATTTGGCCATTCTTGACAATCCTCTTGATGAGCCAGTGGTCAGCGCCGTAGCATGTGATACCCTGGTCAACGCAGTTTTGGCAAAGATCGAAATCACCATCATCGCATGTGGAGCAGTGGTAGTGAGCTTCGGGAACTGTTTGGTCGCAGCTGTTACAGCACACGGCGAAGTTGGTGTTGGGGTGCATCAATGCGGGGCAGCGACCCCAAGAAGCTCGTGACGGAGTCTCGGTGGCGGCAGCATTAGCGAACCACTGGTCTCGGGCCGTAATACCCTCAGAAACGGGAATATCTGCAGAAGCGGCTGGCACCTCCTCGTCGTTAATCTTGGCGTGTCTTCTCAGCAGAGATGCAAGGATGGAGGCTTCGAAGTCAAGTCCGGTGTCGCTCGTGGGCAATTCCTTCTTGGTCTCGTTGTCAATGACGCTAGATTGCCTCAGATCAACGAGGGGTTGCGTCGCGGCGTCTTCCGGCTTCTGCTCCTCGGCCTCCTTCTCGACGAGAGGAGTGCTGGACTCGGGCACATCCTCCACTGACACTGGTCTGGGAGACATCTTCTCCTCGGACAATTTGGTAACACGGAGCTTGAGTTTTTGCTTGGCCTTGGCAGCTCTGTACAGCTGCTTGTAGACTGAGACATTCTGCTTATCGAGTGTGATGTACGAACCAGCCGAGTCGGAATACCTCTCGAGAGTGACGTTGGCATCAGAGGTAACGCCCAAAAGAGCTCTCACCTACAAGAAGCTGAATTAGCGTGTGCTTTCAAGAACGAGCCTCATACGCCTCGTGGCCAAGTAACCGGTGTCGCCATCTCACTCAACATTGAAACTTCCGATCCAACGTTCATATGCCGCGGCAATCTGACCAAGGGCGGAAAGAGTGCAATGACGTACCTTATCTTCAAGAGTGCTGGGTCCCATGTCGCGCAGTGGGAGCTTATGGCGGCGAGTCATGCCGTCGAAGTTGATCTTCAGGGTGACCTGAGTGTCTGGCGTTGTTGCTGATGAGGACGCCATTTTGAGAGATGGAAAGTAGACTCCGGGTATGGATGAAGAGGGAACTCGCGGTCGGCCGGGCGGGGAAGGGATGACGGCTCTGGCGGATGTTTCACTGATAGGCGGCCAAGTAGCACGGTGCACGAGGCTCGCTCGGTCGGGGTAAGAGATGCGTCTTCCTCCTTACGTCGGGGTTTCAAGGAATACCAGACGGATACACGGTATTTGTTGATTGTTGTAAATGGTTGATTGTAAGGGCGGAGTTGGTGAGAGGGAGGAAAAGAAAAACGGACAAAGCAAGCTTTCCGGGTAGATGGCGAAAGATGGTTGAGAGGGTGAAGGGACGGGGAGTGGGAAAGATAAGTGAGTTGGAGGATGATGGGGGTCGGCGGTCGGTGGCCGGGTGGAGAAAGAAGGTGAGCAGACGAGGAAGGAGCGACCGGATGAGAGATGGGACACTGGAAGCTGGAGTGGGCGGGTGGAGGTGGTGGAGGTGGAGACGGGCTAGGCGGATGATGCGTGTGCGTCTCTGCGTCTCGTTCTCTCTATGGTGGAAGGTCTTGACCCTCGGGAGCTGTGTGTGAGACGGGACTTGTTCAAGTGCGGCAGACAAACAGCTTTGCTCTCCGCAGGTGACTTTGGGGGTCGGGATGGGGAGAATACCTAGTACCAGGGGGACCAGGAGCCACTTATGTACCAAGAGCCAGACGAAAGATGAAGAGGCCGAAACCGTGGTGGCCCGAAAAGGGAACTCGGGTGGTGGGAAAGTGAGGATGGATGGCGAGGGATGGGAAGGGAAGGCGGGCAAGCCAAGGCAGGAAAGGCGGTAGTAGCGTCAGTCGTCACTCTCGCAACTGCCTTGAGATTCTCACGGTTCACCACTTGCCCCCTGGGGAGTACATCACAAAGTAACAAGGCAATGGAAGGTTCCTACCTACCTTAGGTAGACTCTCACACTCTCACACTCTCACCTCACAGCGCTCTCTCTCACTCTCACCCATCCGCGGAGAACATGGCATAGCATGGCATGTCTGATGTCGGTGACCGGGATCCCTCAATGGGTGGACCTGTTGAAGGGCGGAGGGGTCATGGACATGACATTGCTGGCCTTCCCCAGGTAAGCTTGGTGCCTTTTCACACCTTCAGAGGTACTTATCCAACGTACCGTGGGGGGAAAGAGAGGGGCAAGGTGACTCTAGAGAAATCTGGTTGGCTGGTTGGTAGTACCTAAGGAAAAGGAACGTACCTTTCTGCAGCTGCTTCCGCGCTGTTAGGCGAGAGCGAATGGTGTGAACTTGAAAGGTATAAACTGCTTATTCCGCTCGCTAACAAGGTACCTTATCGAACATTGCCTCTTGCCTCTTGACTGCCTCAAGGATCAAGCTATCCGTTCGTGGGCGCGGGAAGGCACTCCAGGACTGAGGCGTCTGGGAGTAGGTATACGCTTGCAGAGATAGCCTTTGCTGTGGGAAAGCCGAGACACCGCTAACCAAGACCATGTCAAAGTGTCAGATCCGCGTAGTGGCATTAGGGATAGATGCCCCCCAAGGTTCAAACCTCCTCCCACCGCTCTGCTTAGCAAGCCGGGCCTCTTGTCGCCATCCATGTTCCATGGATTGCTATTCGGGAACCACAACTGCTCACATGTCACTGCAGGCAGATACACCAAGGCCAGGCAAACCAGTCAGTCAGCCAAGCCAGGCAGCCTACGACACCTCAGCTCGCCCCTCTGGCTTCACATTCGTTCACATAGTACACCATCACAGTGGGCAGCAGGCGGCAAAAAAGATAAATCATGACCATGGAAGAAGCTCGAAAGAGGCGGTCAACAGCCACCACCGCGAAATAACGACCCGGCAGCTTACAGTGCCTTCAATGGAATCTGCTCCAACCTTCCTCGCCCCAATTCAATTCATTGTCCACAACCATGGCTACGGCCACGTTCACTTCTCGCAGCCTCGACTCCATCTTTTTTTCCTTGACTGGATGAACCGGTCGAGTCGTCAACTTCGGCTTCGCCTCCGTCCTTCGCCCTTTCGCCTTTTCAGTATAGTAGTCGAGGAACCGACGAGGTCTCGGCGCTACCAAATCATCCGCATTTTGATTCCCTTTCTAATCTTTGCCTCATGCTATTTCCCACCCTTCGCCTACTGGGATTCACACCCACACGCCCCCCGGCAATGACTCTCTCCTTCAACCACTACGAGCTACCCTGGTACGCCCGGGCAAAGACGCAATAACCACTGCCCATTGGCACATGACGGGGGACTGCCCTGCAAACACCAGACTCGAAATGAGGCGAACTGGAGCCTCGCCGCGAATTGTTCCTATGTTTACGCACTTCAACTATGCAAAATGTGGACAATAAGCAGTCATAGGGGTTTGGCTTGGTCATCGACCTCTCTTGGGCTCCTTAATCTTCTCACATTTCCTTCTGCCTGAACTCGCATCTGGCGTTCAGACGTGCCATGTCACCATGGTGGCCTGCCCTCTCGACTACCGACAACTGGTCGATCTGGGTCTTCATGCAACGAATCGCGATGCCGGAGCACCAGCTTGCTGCATAGTTGCATAGTCGGTCAGTCGGACAGTCGGTCATCCTCCACTGCGATTCAGTGATAAGACAAGGAATACGACCTCCGACCTGTCCGTCTACCAGACTTTGTGCCTGGATTGGCCCAGGGGTGTCCAGTGCTATGTTTGCCCAGAAGGCGCGAGTGTCTCGCACCTAGCTATGCGTTTGGCGCAAATGCTGTTACGCCGCAGAAGGGAAAGCGAAAACCTCCAGACAGTCACTGCAGTCGATGCGTTATCCAACGCGTGGTAAAACCCAACCTCATGCAGCTACCGCATCCGATCTTAGCGAGCCCGGCAGCGTGGTCACTCGAGATCGGAATGGGGAGGAGGGGCGGGTCGACCGACGACCACGGGAGACAGTCTGTTCTCTGTCACCTGAGCCTCTATTCCTTACTGGAAGCAGCAATCGCTGCCGCAAGTCACGCAGCACGCAATCCTTCAGTACTCAGTCTCGCTGGGCCTTGTCACCGAATGGAGCTGAAGTCGGACAAGACAAAGAGCTGAGGTCAAACAGGAAAAATCCGTCCGCGCTTGACTCGTTCACGTGGAGATCCTTTCATCTGTCTTGGACCGAGACAGAGCCTCCTCTAATACGAGCTCTCTATCAATCTCTGAAGTAGATCAAACTGGCACTCACCCTCCGATGCTGAGGCACGTTAAGCCGGCCTTAGTCAGCTAGTGACTAGTTCCCTCCTTTGCAGAAGGTCTCCGTCTTCAATTCCTATCGAAGAGGCTTTTGTGTGTGTCTCGGGCCATCAAGATCGACGTATGCCAACCTCGCATCAAACCTTCTCTGACAAGTGTCTGTGGGATGAATTAAGGACGGATGCTTCATAGCTACTTTACACCGAAAGGAATGGCCACGGCGACGCTCACGGGGACGAAGTTGGAAATGACAGCTCATCGTCCAGACGGAAATGTGCAGCAATGGCGCCGGCGGACCAACAACAGCGCTCTGACAAAGGCGGGGGAGGCGGGGAAGCTCTCGGTGAGCAAAGCAAGCAGGTCATAAGCAACCAAATATCTCACGGCCTCATTTAGGCCAGCTGGCTGGTCGGTCTTTTGGTCCAGATCGACAGACGGCGGGAATAGCGAACAGTCGAGAGGCCATCCTTCCAGGTCCGAGAGCGCTGCTCGCCTGCCTACGCCGTCCTCAACAGGCAAAGACGATACAGTTATCGCAACGCTACGCTGCATGTCACCATTCTAGTGTCCAGCCATCCAGGCTGCTAGTCATGCGAACTCAACCCCCGCCTTTTCCCAAAGTTCTCATCAAAGTTACCAAACCACCGCTGCGGAGGCTGCCAAGAAAAGGATGTTTTGTTGTCACTCGCATTGCCTGACATTGAATTCATCCGGCAAGCTCGACCTCCATAGTGTAAAGCAGGACGTGGGAAAGTAAAGTGGCCGGCTCAGGGGTCTGTCCCAAGAAGGGCAATCCGGACAAGACAAGTCGCTCTCCGGACCCGAAGCTCCATTGCGCCCGGATCGAAGCCGACCACCCGATCTCTCCACCTCGAGGCTCAACCGCCTCACACACTGTACACTGTAGGAAGACGGTGACTTTTTTCCATCTCATCATCCCCCCTCGCTTCTTGAATCATCTAATGTCTGTCCAAGGCACCAAAGCTACGTCAGGCGAAAAAAATTCAATGAGAAAGGTGAAAAAGTAATACCCGCACGAGGAAGTTAGGAACAGTCTTTAACTTCCATACTCGTCCCATGAATTCGCTCTTGGCGCCGCCTTTCATCGACTCATCGAGGACCTTGAAAGTCTACCTAGTGCGGAACATGTTCCCCGTCTACTCCTGAAGAAAGGTCGAGGTAAGCTCGAAAGTTCGGTAGGCCTCACGCCTGCCAAAAAAGACGGTTCAGAGGCGAAGCAAACAAAGGAAGGGCCCAGAACTCGACAATACGTCATGTTTCCCCCCTCTCCCCCTCCGCCTTTGAAATCTCACCACCTTTGACCAACCCCAAAGAGACATCATCCGGTTCTCCAATCGCTTTGTTTCAGGATTGCAGGGCTTGGCGAGGGGGCCGCAGCAATTCGTCCAGACAAGAAATAAAGATGAAGACTGAGGCAGCGCGTACGCGTGTCTTGCTGTCGTGCCTGCTCTAATACCCGCTCGCTGACCACGATCCTTCGTTGCCTAATAGGTACCCATCTTTCGACTCATAATCTTTAGGGAAAGAGAGGCAAAAAAATAAAAATAAAAAAAATGCATTGAGTTTTACGGATAGATGTTGGCTTATTATTCATCCCTCGCCTGGTTGGGTTTCTCCGCCGCACAGGTCTCGCAAAGAGACGACGGGACGACAAATCATTTCTCCTCTATGAAGTCGTACCGGCCTTGTAGGCTCATATAAGACGCCTCTGATAGGGGGTTTACGTGTACACACGTCTCGTATTTTGCATGCACATCCTACCTTGCCTACGTGCCCTATTGTCCGGAAACGTCCGCACGACTTACACGTCGCCAGATGCCGAGGCCGGCATGTCTCCTGGTTTTTCTTCGCTGTTTTAATCCCATGTCGTGTCTGTACGCGTTAAGAGGGAAACTATTGATGCGGTAGGACAGATAGGATGATCGATCGTGGACGTAAGCAATCGATAGATGGCCGGCACCACCGTATCTGCAGCCATCGAGCAGAGGGTCAAAGCTCACCCGTTAATGCGAAGCTATTGATGGTGATGATTGTTAAGCCCGTTGTGATCATGTTAAAGTATTGGGCATTTTCCCAGTTCGTGACCAACTGAGAAACAGCAAGAGAGTCTGCGAGGAACCACAGAAGTTGCTCAGCCATGCCTACTTACTTTTGATAGGACAATACAGGATTTTCTTACTATCATTGTTCTGGACATCTGACAGATCCAAGCAAGCTGCCATCAAGCGCATGGTCTTGGTCACCGTGATGATGTGGCTGCCTCTTTCGACCCTCAACACTCAGGAATGCAAGGAAGGATGTTTCCGGGCAGCAACGTTGTCAGACGTTGCCCCCCCCCCCCCCCCCGGCCCGTTCTCCAAGTTATCCGAAACCGGCCCAACGATAAGAGCGAAGATGACAATCAGTTCTTCTCAGTAAGTGAGATATTGGGTAAGATGTCTCTAACGGTTAGTCAAGCAATGGACGATCCTTGCACTCTTTAACATCTAGAATGTCCAACATCACCTTTCCCACCGCGAATATCAACATGCGGTCAATTCGTTCGTTCATCGTTGGGCTCTAGGTCGATTCTACGGTCTCACGGTGACGGAGACTCAAGGTCGGACTAGAGCCGCAATCAGTCGAGGTTACGGACAGTGTACACCCTGGCAGGCGGGACCAATGTTCAATCACGAAGACTTCATACAGTAGCTTTAAACTACCTGCCCCAGTTCCATCCCAGTGCCATTCCACCGTCTTTGCCCTCCTCTTTTTTCAGTATAAGATTCAACACCACCACTTTCACTCTCACTCCGCGCTTCGGTCCCTTCTCCATGTGCCATTCTCTCTCGTCTCGTCTCCTGACAAAACCATGAGAATGCTCTTGAGCCAACCGACCCTCCTCTTACCCCTCACATCTTCAAATACGAATTTAGGATACTGTCAGAACTTTTCCACCACATCCTCCTCCTCCAATACACACTTGAGAAAAACAGCAAGTACAATTGCGCTGCCTAAACAATAAGTAGCGTAAACAGAAAATAAAAAAAAGGAATACCTTGATGGGAACGGGGAAAAGAGATCTAGGCTTTCATTGGATCATGAACGGAGTAGAAACAAAACGAGGAAAAGAAAAAAGTTAGAAACGACATCGAAAGGGTTGTCAGTATTGTGTACCGATCCCGCTCTCGAGTGTTTACTTTGTAAAGAGTGTGTGGAAGAACGTCTAGGTAAAAGAACTCAGCCATCGTTGCGAACATCAATAAGCAAAAAGAAAAGGTGAGTAGAAGCAAAATGTATAGACGCTCAAGAAACACAACGAATAGCCTCCCCGATAATCATCCGCCTTTGAATCCAATAAAAACAGGCCCGGGGATTTTAATGAAAAAACTCAGAAACGCCAGAAACACAAGGCGGCGACGTGAAGTGGACGGATGGAAATAGGCTGGAAAAGATGATAGAATGTGGTAGAGACAGAGTGTGAGGAACTTCTTGAATTCGAGAACAAAGAGAGGTTGTAGGAACCAGGGAGGAGGAGGGAAACCCCCTTTTCTGTCGACCGCTTCTCGCTCGCTCTCCACCAATTCCGTAGGAATTCTCCTCCTTTTGTCCAAGATATGCTTGTAACCATACGTTGGAACAGGAGAAGTCAAGTAAAACCTCAAAAGGACAGCGAAAGTACCTCACAACCCCATCCTCCAACAGTGTACCAATTCAACCCAGATCAAGAGCGCTCATTCCTATCAATACTATAATCATAGAGTTCAAACACCGCAAAGTTTTTTGTGGATTTCCTCCTGCCCTTTGTCCCCGTCCGGCCGTCCGACGAGAAGAGGGTATAGCGACGGCTAGAGAGCCGACAATGACAATTACAAGGATTAGAAGGAAGGCGGTAGGAAGTGTGGGAAAACCTAGGAAGGCGTTTGCCCGTACCCCTATTGCGAGTAGTACACCATCCCGGGAGCTGGCTGCTGGTAGTAAAAGGCGTCCGGGCTCGGAGTCACCATACCGCCCATACCACTGACACCGGGGCCAAATTGCGGAGGAGGCTGGTAGCTCTGCTGATAGTTGGACATCTGAGTGGCATCGTAGTAGTACACCATACCATTGACCTCTTGAGCTACCAAATTGGGACCCGGCGGTCCTTGGCCGTTTGCTTGTGCAGCCGCGGGGTCTGCCTGGGCTTGAGGAGGGAACCCTTGGCCTTGACCTGGCTGTCCCGAGGGAACGAAGGATGGAGCTGCAGCAGAAGGACCCATATTGTTGCCATTGTACTGCCCAGGGTAGTAATACGGCTGCTGAGGCTGCATCATAGGATAAGGTTGGTTGTAGAAGTTTTGCTGCTGCTGGAAGGTGTTTGGCTGGAACGGAGCCGCGTGAATTGCCCTCTCGGGAATCTGGGAAAGAGGCGTGCCGGTAGAGTGTTGAGTGGGGTATGACGGCTGTCGCGAGTGGGCTTCCTGCGGCATGCCGTTGGAGACCTGGAGAGGGACCTGCTGATGGAAAGCTTGTTGGAAGGCTTGCGGGCCTTGATTGAGGGTCGGCGATTCAATGTTCGTGACCGAGACGGCCTTTTGAGGACGAGGCTGGTGCATGGGGATCGAGTTCGGGCGACTCTCTTGGAAGGCAGGCTTCTGTGGCAACGGGTGCGTCTGCGGCTGCGGCAAGTCATTGATAGATGTCTCGTTTGGCTGCATAGGATAACCGTCCTGTCCAACGAATGGCTGATTCGGGTGAGCTGCAGGCGGGAGGCGGACGACTGGTCGGGGGTTCTCGACCGGAATCGGGGCCCGCGACATGACAGAGCCTGTGGGGGAGAACAAGTAGTCACGCCCATCAGGAGCGAGAGAGGAGCGACGACTAAGGGCGATGCTGGGAGAGTAGGCGCTGCCGTAGTAGCTTCCGCCAAAGACACTGGTCCGCCGGGAGAAGCCTCCCATGGAGCCAAGTCCAGAGCGAGGTTTACCTCGGGTCCGCTGTTGGTTGGGTCGCATCGCCCGGGGGATAAAGATGAAGGATCGGTCGACAGCTGGGAAGATGTACTTGGGCGGGTTATCGGGCAAGGAGATGCGGACAGGCTTGTCACGGCGAAGGGGTGGCCGATGATCCGGAAGCTTGGTGTATTGTTTCACAGGCATGCCAAAGGCGGCGGGAGCTTTGCCAACAACGGGAAGAGACACCCTGACCTGCACGTTTCCGATGTGTCGCTCGGTCGACAAAGTCCGGTTGATCGGGGTGGGGTTGGACGGGCACGTTGGGATGAAGCCGTTGCCGTTGGCCGGGCCTTCAGTTTCGACGGGCAGGTGCCTTGGATGTCTCGAGGGAGGCGGTTCGGTCACGGCCTCGTGCATATCATGCGCCCATTGGCCGCTCGTGAGAGGATCGGTCGGACTGTGCAGTTGACTGCGCGGATTAGCCGGGATACGGGCAGAGTCTTGCTGGGCAGCGTACTTGATGGGTGCATAGGGGCCTCCAATGCCTCCGCCACGGCCGCCGCGTCCTCGTCCTCTGCCAAAGGGCCGGAAGCCGTTGGCAGAGGGTCCGGCATGACGATGATCGTGCATAAAGAAGGCCCCTCTGTTGGGAACGAAGGCGGGGTCTTCATCCCTTCTCCGCTTGTATTCTTCGTGTTCCCGGCGACGACGTTCGTTGACAGGCTCGGCAGGGCGGGACGTGTGGGAGCTCACTACGAGAGGGGCAGAGGACTTTGGAGGAGATGCGGTTCCGTCAAGCTGTGCCTCTGGTTGAACGGGCTCGGACCGGTCATTGACAGATAGCTCCTCGGCATCGGGTGCGGCCTTGTTGGTCGTCGAGGGGGCCAGGGCCGAGTGTTTCCGGCTACCAGACTTCGCATTTCCATTGCCAGCCGACTTCCTAGGGTTGGGGGTAACGGGAGAAGCCTCATCGATGTTGCTCGTATCGCTGTCGTTGCCGTGATCGTGGTCGTCGCTGATGATGGAACCCTCGGTCAGAGAGTCATCATCGAGTTCGAGCTGGTCAGGTCCACCTTCTCCGTCTTCCTCATCTTCGATGCGTCTTCTGTGACCAATCTTTCGGCGTCTTGGGGCGGCCATGTTGAAGCTTTGTAGGAGCTGCCTGTGCCTGGCTCTGTTGGTTGATGAGCTGGGTACGAGATCGAGCGAGGGGCGATGCTCAAGTTGACGGATAGGACAGGCTCGAGGAGCGGAGGCGGCGGCGGAAGGATGTCGAGACAATCATGCGATGCTTGCGGACGATGGATGAATGGAAGAGAGGGGGAAAAGCAAGTACCGCCCTGCGGTTGGCGAAGAATGAGGGCGATGGAGCAAACAGACAGCCAAGAAGGCGTATTAAATAAAATACACAGCAGCAGTAGCAGCACCGGTTCGTCGGGCAGTGGGGTGAGCAGCAAAGCAGAGCGGGAGGAGGGGGAGAGAAAAAAACGCAATGCTGTTGACGAGCTGGAGCTGAACCCGTGTCGTCTCCTCTGACCTCTCTGCTTCTAATGAAAGAGCAGATGAAGTGGAAGCCTTGGAATAGGAGGAGGGTTTGGGTGCGAGGAGGAATCGCAGGGGTGGAGATGGTGATGATGATAGAAGGGAGGGAGGGATTTCGGCCAGACGACAAAACCAAGACGGACTGGACGGGCGACGGAGACGGAGCCACCTCACAGACAGCTGGTGCAGGTGCAGGTGCAGGTGCAGCAGGTATACGGTAGCAGTAGGTAGGTGCTGGTACTGGCGGCGTTGGTGCTTGTGCACGCCCAGGTGGTGCACCTCAGTCCATCCTTCCGACCCGTTTCGTTAGGTGCTGGGCCTGGAAAAAAAAAGTGTGGTGTTATTTTTTTTTCTTCGTCTCTTCCTTGAGCCGTGGCTAGAGCTGCCCGCTCTGTTGGCTCGAGGTACCTAAACACCTTACCTAAGGTAGTTAGGTATCTTGGTACCTCTCTCTCAGCCAGTAGGATTCTCTCCTTGTTGCCGGCTGGCGTGCGACGTTGCGTGGTTGCTTTGGGCCGTTTGGGGCCTGGACCAGCTGGACGTGCCCGCTGTGGAGAGCTGCGAGCAGAGCTGCCCACTAAATTCACCTCGAAAGCTGTGAGGTAAGGAACCTGAGTTCGAGGTACGGGTACCTTGGAATGTTCGGGAGACTAACGTGAGGCTCTCGCACCAATCAGACATGCTTACCGCATCAGAATTGACCCACTCTGATATTCGTCGCTCTGCCTAGATCAATTACCTATCTTCATCAACTCATACATGAAATTGTTGTTCATCAACTATTTCTACATGCCTCTATAACGCCTCGCACCATAGTATATTCATACAACTAGGAATCTCAGATGTCCCGGCCGTCGAGCTTCACCTTCCATGCCCCCCCCCCCCCCCCCCCCCCCCCCCCCCCAACCCCCTCAACCCCCCCCCCCCGCCCACCCCCCCCCCCCCTCCGCGCGCCCCCCCGCTCGCGCCCCCCCCCACCCCCTCTCCCCCCCCCCCGCCCCCCCCCCCCCCCCAGAAAGTAGTCTAATACTCTCCAAACCCCCAGCGTGATGCGCCAGCATGCCGTTTCAGGTCTCAGACGCTGGGACGGCCCAGGATCTATCTCGATCTGGCACCGAACCTTAACTTCGTCGTGCTCACCATGTGTCTTCCCACAAACCTTGGCTTGGGATGACAACTTTTTGACTCTCTGAGAGAACAAACCTAGATCCGAGCCAAGAGTCAAAGGACCACTCACTGCATGCATTTCTAACTACACAGTTAATCGCGAGGCGGGTGAATTGGCATGGTTTAATAAAAAGCTGCTGCGTCCTTTCTACAAACCTTGAGTATGTGGACGGAGTGTATTGATATCCTGGTAGAAGTAGCCCAAATCATCATTGATATTTTGGAGACTTCTGTTCATATTGAGTCGATACTTGAATCTTTCATCTCGTCACAGACAATCACACTGTTGCAATTAGCTTTTACACAAGCGGATGATGACAACCGCAACGGACTAAGTCAGGGTAGACAAGGTCTTTCGAAAAGAAAGTCAACAGTGATACTATAATATTGTGACTCAATGAGCTATCAATGTCTTGTCGCTAGAACTCGCCTGTCTATACCGCTCGGCTTTGAACACTCTAACTCTACGAAGCCTAATTACTAGCTAAATACCTTCACAACAATGGTGTCCTAGAGTTATGTAGAGCATATCATGAGCGTATAGCTAATTCGGGTGAAATACAGTCTGAAATTGAGGCTTTGCAGTTCTTCATGCAAATCACCCTCAAGTTGATCACGAGGAAGGCAAACTCAATGAAAAGTTGCAAGTCCATTATCATCCGTATCTAGTCCCGCTAGAGGAACATATCGCTCAAATGACTTCATGAATGTCTTGTGACACAATACCGTAATGCTTTAAGACGGCGGTGTGAGATTCTGCGTCTTCTCAATCTTCGGAACGCAGCCAAATCGAGTGTTTCCCTGATCCCAAATCTATTCCAAAAGTCAGCTTCATCTCACTTCGCTGCCTGATTAGAATCAACAGTGCCACTTACCGCATAAATCGACTTCAGGAACGCATCACCCAAGATGTCAAACTCGTTGGAACCCCGCGACTGCACTCCGCCGTACCAGAACCCATCACTCGCCGGCGCAAACGCAAGGTCCTCCTTCTGAATCACAAACTCCTTGTCACCGACGGCGACCTTGAACTCGGGCAGGTCGTCCGCCTTGGTGCTCGTTGGGAACACGTAGCCCTGCTGCTGGTCGTCGTACTTGGCACCGGGGATCGCCTTGTACAGCGCATCGCAGACCTCATCTGAGACGAGCGCCAGCGTCGTGCCTGTGTCTGCGATGGCCTTGTTCCCGCTCTGCGTCACGGCCTTGCCGTTAATACTCGCGGACCCGGACTCGAACATCCAGAACCCTTGCGAGTTATCGATGTCGGTCCAGTGGATATCCTCGCCCGAGGCCGAGACGAGATCCGTGTCGATCCAGCCAAATGTATAAAAAGACCGCGGCTTCGCCTCGTCCCGCTCGCTATAAAACGCAGAGGTGAAGAGCTCCGCATCCTTGGGGATGTCTTGCTGCGCAATCATGTTCTCGACGGGTGTGGCGACGGGGTCGCGGAAGTTGCCATCGCGCATGACGGTGTTGATAGATCCGAAGGCGAGACCGAGAAGACCATCTCCGCTGCCCTGGGAGAACTGGTCTGCGAGCTGCGAGGCTGACTCGATCGCTTGGTTCTCGACTGTCAGCCCGCCGAGGACGAGGTTGTCGGTGCCAACATCGCCTGACGCCGAACTACCGTCGCCGTACGAGATCTTCCACGTCTTTCCGTCGAGCTTCTTGTAAGTCGAGGACTTGGAGGCGTCGAAGATGTTGTGACCCTTCTGCGTGGCGCTGCTAAGTTCGGTCGAGAAAACCTGACATGCGCTGTTAGTGAAGATAATTGGTAACATAGTTTGCCAGAGAGAACCGAAATACCCAAAGGTCAGAAGAACCTGTGTCAAAGTCCAACTTGAACTTTTGCGGTGGCGTGCCGATTGAGACTTCGCAAAGGTACATGGAGTCATATTGCTGGTCTTCGGCTGTAACATCCCCGTGCTGGTCGTCGCCAGTCTTCTTGGACAAAACCTTGCTCATGGAGACACGACCGCCGACAGCAGCATTGAACCCGGGAGCTGCAAGCCCTCTCTGAGCCATTCTTCGTGTCTGAACATAAGGGCCTGGCTTTGTTGGTTCGAACTTGAACTTGTTGAGCAGGTAGACGTAGGATTTGGTGCCATGACGCTGGTAGTTCTTGTTGGCGATGACGGGGATCTTGGAGAGGCCCTTGTCGGCCTTGAACTTGGCTTGAGCTTTGAGGAATGCTTCCATCTTGTATGCTTGAGAAAATGAGCTTTTTGTATTGTGTGAGTGTGAGTGTGAGTGTGTGTGTGTAGGTTGGTTGGTTAGGTCAAGTGGTTATGACAAGGGAGCTTGAACACTAGCTTGGCGGATCAGGGTGACGATTTAAATACCTGCCCGTTACGGTCAAGAAGCGACGATGACGACTCGGATGGACGGCACTCGATGAACCTGGACTATTTGGGTCGAACGTGCGATGGTAGGCAGTAAACCTGTTTGGATAGCGCTTGCGATGTGATGAGGGGGAGATATCACCTAGGAGATAGATAGCATGTCAATCATGCGCTGGCCCGTCGAGACTTCTTATAAGACAACAAGCTATTGTTTCGCTGACGACAACCCTGAGCTGAGCTCGACCGGGATCGCGTTATGTATCTTGTCACGGCAGACCAGAGAAGAGCCCAATGCCGGCAGTGTGTAAGTGTGACAGCTCTCAGCAAGACAAGGGATGGTGGGGCGGTGCAACCGCAGGCTTGAAACCGAGTTCTCGCGAATGCGCATTCGGACCTTCTGACCGTGCTCTTGAGCTGTGTTGAAGGGGAGGGGCTAGAAACAGGTCGGCCCTCGGGCGAACCCGATGAGGCAGTTGATAAGGAAGAAGAGGGGCGTCACTTGTTTGTGGAGTCTGCGTTGAGCCGACTCGAGCCATATGAGGAGTTGGTTGAGAGGGGGAAAACAAGAGGGAAACGGAGTGGAAATGGCGAGTTGCGGAGCCATCTCTTCGATGTCAAGGTGCCGACCTCTCGGTCAAAGCTTCATCATCCGCCTGCACTCTCCATCAACCTGTTCTTGGCTCTCCGGTCCAGAGAGCTGCCGAGACTTAGCATGACGAATGACACGTGCGAAACCAGGCACAAACTGAACCAAGATCAAAGCTCCCAAATGCCAGTCAGGAGAAAACGACTTCAAGAGACGAGCAAATCAAGCCAAGAGATGAGGTCCTCCCCCGCCGCCGATGATGTAACGAACTGCCGCACGGTGGTTCCGGGGCAAGGATCAGCTTAGCGGGCCATGTCCCGTCTTGGCGGCGATCGACTCCAGGCTCCTGGGAACCTTGCCAAGCACGATGCAAGACACAAGAAGCAGACGAGGCCTCCTGATCATGCCCATGGTATCGCTGGAGACGAACCGGTTATGCCACGAATTTTCTCCTAGCCGCCGGGTCTAATCACGAGGTTCCATTCCGATGTGCCGCGATAGCTTGCACGAACGCGTAACAGGCAGATGTGCAGCAGCACTAGATGGACGATGATGCGGTTTGTCTCAAATGCCAAGGGAAGCCCAAGGTCAATACATGAAGTCGTGTCCTCTATCTCGAGAAATTGGGAACTTCGACTGGTCAACATTTTACCTCGTTGGACTCGTGGTATTTTCCCGCTCAGCTTGGACCGTGAATCCGTTCTAACCTCAAGAGGTTTTAGGCGTCATCGAGCTTGATGATCCCAAAAGTGAAGCCTCGGACACCATTGCTGATCCAGCATGGCTCTCCTCCAACAAGGCTGTCAACTTTGACTTCTTCTTCCACGGCCAACCCACTGATCAAGTTAGTCAAACGCTCATCCCATGTTGGCGGGGAATGGCATAGCAGCTGACTTACCGCTCAAGTGCCCATCTACGGGTGGTCCCGTCTTGGCCACCGCTCCCACCTTCGGGACTATACTTAGCAGCCACCGGCGGGGTGACCCATCTGCCGTCTCGCCAGAAGAATGGGGTTGTCAGGCTACCTTCCATGATAGACCCGTCTTTTGAGTTTACGAGAAGGACTTCCTTGCGATCTGCCAGGCTGATAATCGCTCGACTACGAGCTGTATCATACATATTTCTCTCTGTAGTCTTGTAGTGGGTATACTCGGATTGCGTGGTCTTTGTGTTATCAACCACTACTATCATGGGATTCTCTTCCAAAGGATAGCCCGCTTCTGTCGATTGTCCTGGGGAGGGAAGCCGTTCTGGGAAGAGGTTCTCAAGCGACACCGCTGGGACTTCTGATCCTTCGCAGGTGAGGCGTCCTTCTGAGGTCAACAAGACTTTGACTCGTAATGCTTTCTCTCTTCCATGCTGAGTCAAGAAAGTCTCAATCGCCCCAGTCAGTCTCTGGAGGCCGTCCGATCCAGAGATAGCCTCGATGGCAGGAGTCCAATTCCAATAGGTGGCAGCCCGCAGCATCCGATCCCGGTGCAGATCTAGCATGTAGAACGGTGAGGTCATCTTGGCGTTCCATCCTGCGTTGGCCAGGCGCCGCTTCGGTACGCCTATCAAGCCAGGGTCGTATCGAAGCGATGTGAATAACTGGAAGTTGGCCATGGTGCTGGGCTTTTTGTGTCAACCTTAGTGACTGATGCAGAATAATAGGTGTATGGTTGAAATTGACAATTTGAGAGTTCCGCGAGCGCGCGAGCGGGGAATAGTATTCTCTGATGCTTAAGAGAAAGAGTATGGTGACGTATTTTGAAGAGAACAGAAGCGCAAAAGTCGGGTTTCGAGTTCAAGAGCGTTAAGTACAAATGTGACCGCAAGAACCACCCTGGTTCAGAAATGTTCATACCGGGGTCACAGCGGGAGATGCTTGGGCCGCAATGATCTCCCGTAAGTTTATGTAAGCAGCACAAGGGTTCTTCACCAGCGAACACCGAACATCGCTGGATTGATGTTACAACAATTACAGGTGAATCGATGATTCGAGGGCAACAGATGAAACAGCCATTCGGAGAACCTATGAGTTCAGAAATTGCGAGCCAATACGGAGTTAGAAAAAGAAGCCAGCGCCTTCTTTTCAGAATGAACAGATCGCCTTGGGATAAGCAAGAGACCATCCAAGTTAGTGACTAGTGACCGCAAAGTACGACATCAAGCAGAACAAGAGCTGAGATGATCAAGATGTCCTGAGATGGTTATCTGAAGGATGTCGGATCCTTTATCCTGATAAACTAAGCTAGGCTGGTAGGAAGCTCGATATCAACTCCTTCTTCCGCCATGCCAAGGGAAAGGCCTCGTTGACTCTAGTAGACTGTCGAAGATAGGAATTAGATTGCACCATACATATATACGTCCAAGACTTCAAACTTATATGCACCAAAATCTCCAGTTATTTGCTTGAAGAAATCTAGATTCAACTATGTATCATAGGGACGTTGCCCCTTGAGACCCATAAGCCGTTGCCCGATGTTTTAGGATGAGAAGCCGGGAGTACTTCGGTGTGACCACCCTACATACGTAGCAGACAATACAATTGACTTGTCAATTACTTGGGAGATGTGGAAGTCCATATCGCCACAGTCGTGTCGTGCTGTGTCCGAGGTGAGGTTGTCGAGACCCGGGAGAAGTATTGGTGATCCTGTGATAGTGTCTACCCTTGCCGGCATCATATTTCCATTTCGGAAAGGTGCCAGACTTCCCTTACTTTCCGAGTTTGAAGTCACCTATGGTTCTAGTTTATAGAGGTACTACTAGGCTGTGATCACGATCCAAAACAAACCCCAATGTTCTTAATAGTCTTGGAATCTCGTGAGGCAATCGGTATCTCTCAACCACCATTTCGGAAACTTCAACGCACTCTTTCACATGACCGTCAGCTTACTTCACCTTATCTTGGATGGTTGAAGAGTCCTGTGACTTTTTTAAAGACTTTAGACGTCTACTAGTTGAGCATTTCAAAACTTCATAGATCATGATCGTGGGCTTGCGGGCCTTTGGACAACCCAAATTTGCCTCACCTCTGCGACTCAAAACAGCCGACCAATCATAAGCGGACATTTCCTATGCTTGAATTATACTTGAATTGAAGAAGTCTGGTGTGACGCTGTCTGTTATCTATAGAGAGTGCCGCCCCTCCTCATCTCTACTGGACCAGCGAGCGTAGGTGGGGGTGGGTGAATGTGTCATGTTGGCATCTGGTACCTTGCTTGTGGTGGTTGACCGCAGCCTTTCAAACAGAAAGGATGCAACCTTCAAATCAAAACGACATCACCGGAATACAGTGTCACTTCGTACGTTATGGTTGCCAATCGACCGTCCGTCAACCCGATGTCTGACCACAAGCAAAGTGTGACTTAACCAGTGACCAACTGGGAGGTGAGGAGTCAAAGATAAATTTGTCTGAGTTGTGTTTGGCCTGTCATATCTCAAGATGATTCATGGGAAATGGGTTCAGCTGGATTGGAACTTGTTTGTACAAGATCTGTCACTTGCATGTAGTTCTCGTCAGAGCGAGACAGTATAGATCATAGTAAATTAGAAGATGCCAGTTTGGAGTATCAAAGTTAGAAGGAGTCGGTCAGTCATGGAAGGTAAAGTAGGTAAAGAACACAAGGCGGAATGCGATAGATGATATGGGATAGCATGGTAGACATTCAGTCGTTTTGGTGATGGTCTGTAATGGTGGGCGTAACCCACCGTGTTTTACCAAACAGACATCATGGCAACGGTGACATGTCTTCGACATATAGAGTCATTGTATGCGATAACCCCCTTTGTTTCCAGTGAGACTACATTATGTGACTTAATGTGACTGACGTTGTATAACGGTGAAGTTGACCTTTTCAAAGAGAAGACATTGGAGAGATTTTATTGTTATTTGATACCAAAATAAGCACAGTTCAGTTTCCCTCCGAGTCCATGCGGTGACATGGCTTGTCTGTCAAGGTACTTTACCTCACAGGCTCACGCTACATGCTGGGTGCCGCCCGCGGGCTCTGGCTGACCAACGCACCCTTGCCTTGAGGACAATCGGGACCCTCTTTGGTTACGTAGTGTGCAGATTTATAGGCGGGCCTCCCTTGCGCCCCCACTCTTAAATCGCCTCAGGCAAAGCTGATTTGATGAATGACAGCACCAAGCAGAGGCAACTGCCCGGAAAAACTCCTCACGAGCTTCCCCGTCGCGCAATAATTTTTTGAGGACGGTTACTGTCCGGAAGCTCCTGGCCCAGCGCAAGTGCAACAGCAACAGCAAAAGCAACAGAGCAACAACACCTGCAGCTCCTGCACCCTCTACATCATCGACCACACTGGTCAGCCCATTAATTACATTCCTTTCGACCTCGCGACTTTTCTTCCTAGAACACCTCTGATACCTTTCTTCCCTTTCTCTCTCAATTGCTCTTGGGCTCGTCGCCATCATGTCGAATCCCCTGCCGTCCGTGCCTCCCATGGCCAGCCCTCCGACTGTCATCCCCGTTGATTCGTCTTCTGGCCTTTGGGATCGCATCACCTCATGGGCTTCGGATAATAAGGCCATTGTCTACACTGCCGCTGGTGTCGCCGTCGTCGCTACCGGTGCTGGTGTCATCTACTTCCTCAATAGCGACTCCGTACGTCATGCTTCCCATCTTATCCTCGCGACCCTCGTCGTCATGCGATCCAATTTTTCCACCCGTTACTACCGAGATCTTGGCGTCTATCACTAGCACCTGATTGCTCCTCTCTCAAATAGCAAAGCTAACTCAAGTGCGATTGAAGAAGACAGACTCGACACCAAAGCTCAGCAAGAAGGAGCGAAGGAAAAGAAAGGAAGCCGAGCGGAAGGCTGCAGCAGATGCCGAAAAGCAGCCCACACCTGCAGAGGCCGCAGCCCCTGCATCATCCAAAGCAGCCAGCGTCGAGTCCGCCGACGAACTTCCCGAGATCACCGAGGCGACTGTTGCCGAGTTCACTACCGAAGAGCGGGAAAAGTATGCCGCCAAGCTTAAGGATGTCGGAAACCAAGCCTACGGTGGCAAGGACTACAACAAGGCCATCGACCTCTACTCCCAGGCTATTCTCTGCAAGGCCAACCCCATCTTCTACTCCAACCGCGCCGCCTGCTACAATGCCCTCGGCAACTGGGACAAGGTTGTCGAAGACACGACTGCCGCCATCAACCTTGACCCCGAATACGTCAAGGCACTCAACCGCCGCGCTAACGCCTACGAGCACCTGAAGATGTACGGCGAGGCCCTCCTCGACTTCACTGCTTCTTGCATCATCGATAGCTTCAAGAACGAGAGCAGTGCCCAGTCAGTCGAGCGCCTGCTTAAGAAGTTCGCCGAGCAGAAGGCTCAGGAGATGATGGCCAGCCGGCCCAACAAGCTTCCTAGTCACACTTTTGTCGGCAACTACCTCCAGAGCTTCCGCGTCAAGCCTCGTCCGGCTGGACTCGAGGACTCTGTGGCCTTGTCCGAGGAGACTGGCAAGGGACAACTCCAAGTCGGCCTGAGTGCTCTGGAGAAGAAGACTGGCGACGGATACGAGGAGGCCAGAGCGGCCTTTGAGAAGGCGTTGGAGTTGGGCGACCTGGGCGAATTCGAGGCTCTTGCTTACAACCTGCGCGGTACCTTCAGCTGTCTGCTCGGAAAGCACGACGATGCCATGGTCGACCTGACCAAGAGTATCGAGCTCGACCCTTCCATGACCCAGAGCTACATCAAGCGCGCCAGCATGAACCTCGAGCTTGGTGCCCCGGAGAAGGCCGCTGAGGACTTCGAGAAGGCCATGGAGCAGAACACCGAAGACCCTGATATCTACTACCACCGTGCTCAGCTCCACTTCATCAAGGGCGAATTCTCCGACGCCGCCAAGGACTACCAGAAGTCCATCGACTTGGACCGCGACTTCATCTTCTCTCACATCCAGCTTGGCGTGACTCAGTACAAGATGGGATCTATTGCATCATCCATGTCGACCTTCCGCCGCTGCATCAAGAACTTCAAGGAGGTTCCCGATGTGTACAACTACTACGGCGAGCTGCTTCTGGACCAGGGCAACTTCCAGGAGGCTATCGAGAAGTTCGACAGCGCCATCGAGATGGAGTCGAAGACGAAGCCCATGGCGATGAACGTCCTTCCTCTCATCAACAAGGCTCTGACCTTGTTCCAGTGGAAGCAAGACTTTGGTGAGGCCGAGAAGCTCTGCCAGAAGGCGCTCATTAGTAAGTTCAGACTACTCCATTGTACGAAGTGCAATTGCTGACCCTTGATAGTCGACCCCGAATGCGATATCGCCGTTGCCACCATGGCCCAGCTCCTTTTGCAACAGGGCAAGGTCACCGAGGCGCTCAAGTACTTTGAGCGCGCTGCAGAGCTCGCCCGCACCGAGGGCGAGATCGTCAACGCCCTGTCCTATGCCGAGGCGACCCGCACGCAGCTCCAGGTCCAAGAGAAGTACCCCAAGCTGGCGGCAAAGCTTCAGGGCATCGGCCCGGGTGGCATGCCCCGGTAAAGGGCCAATGACGTCCTGAACACGAAACATGTAAAACTCACCTACGGCGGCGTGTAAGAAGAAAACAGCAGATCCCTTAGCAGATGGGGGAGCGGATAGCCAAGACAAAGGGCTCTTGGTTGATAATAGGGGAAAATATCAAGGCGGGCCAGCCGCCCACCTCGTTGAGTCGTTTTTCCATTGGTCGGTGAGGGAGGCTTTGGGAAAGGAGAGCAAAGTCCAAGGCTCCGTACGTACGGCTGGGGAGGCATTGGTTGAAACCCTTACGTTGTACATAATCCGACTTCCCTCACTCTACGTACATTGGTGAGAGCATTGTAGAAGTAGTCCACTGTCAATCATCTTTTTCCATTTCCATATTCCTTCTTGCATATGAGTCCATCGTATGTTGCCTTGGTGTCTCTATATAAGGAATACATACACGTTGCGGTGAAAGGACAGATTTGAAGCAAAAGAAGTCATATAACCACCCGCGCAATATGATACCCACCTTAGTTGCTCTTCAGGTTTACTGACGACCCCGCCGCAGGCACTATTCCACACTCACAAAAACATAGTTCGTGATCGAAAAACCACCAAAACAGCAAAAACCACAACACTTGCATAATCTTTACGACCCCCAGGGCCCAGGGGAGCAAAAAAATGGACGATCTGGGAATCGAACCCAGGACCTACCGCATGCTAAGCGGTCATTATACCACTAAACCAATCGCCCAATAGAATGATCTAGCCCGGACTTGAACCGGAGACCTTCAGTGTGGCAGACGATGGAGAGGCTGTGAGAGACTTCTTTTCGAGCTGTTAGACTGACGTGATAACCAACTACACCACCAGACCATGTTTTTGTTGAAGACGGCGAGGGAAAAAGGTGACTAGGTATGACTGGGGTGTGGGGGTGACCATACGGGTTGGGCCAAATTGCGCGGGCGTTGCTGTGCGCTGCGTTGCGGTGTGGAATGTGAAGAAGTGGATGTGGTGGCATCGCGAGTGCAAATTTCGTTGGTGGGCGGGGCGGAAAGACCGGGGTGCGCCCGTGTTCCCAAACCCCGACAGGTTCTGGACCGGCCGGGTTCTCGCGTGGCTGCCATGGTTCGAATCGGGGATGAGGTGCTGATAGCCAGGGCAGGCCGGGTGGGCCGGAGTGGAGGGAGAGAAAGAGAAAAAAAAAGCGGTTGAAGAATCTGAAGAGCGACTCGCCAAGGTCATGGGACATTTACAGGATGGGTCGGGAGCGGATTGATGCCATGCGAGTTCATAAAATGTTCGCCATTGTGCGATACGTACAAGAGGGAAAAAGTGGTGGCCTCTCTCTCTTCCAGTCCACTCATAAAATCCAAAGGACTATGAAGTGGGAGGACAGACAGACGCAAAATAAATACAGATAAAAAAGTCCACTCCATATCCCCGTCTGATTGTGTGAAGAGTACGCGTATAATAAGTCACTCGTTGGTGGGGAATCAAGAGCCCGCCGTGTCTCCTATACGCGGCAGATGAAATAGAAAAAAAGTCGTGGTGTCGTCGGAAAAGAGCTGGTTTTTGGGTTCGTGGGGCAGCGCGCGTGTGTGCTCCGCCATCTTTTGTGTCGCCCTTAATTAGTACCGTCCATTCGTCCGTGCCATGGTCATGAAATCTAAACAATCGTAGTGCTGCTCTTTTAGAAGTGCTGTCCCGTTTCCAATCATATGAGGGAGGTGCCGCAGCTGCCTCCCCATCCCATTACTTTCTCCGAATCGTCGTCCTAGTGCAATTGCGCACATGCGCGTCCGATTGTTGTGATCGCACCCGTTAATTCTTCTTGGTGAGAGCAACGCCCAGACCGACACCCAGCGCGATAGCAAGGATGATGAGTACGACAACGAGGAGGCACCACCACTTGAGCTTCTTGCGTCTGCGCGCGTGGTCCGTCGCAACCTTGACTTCTTCGTTGCCCTTTTGGATGTTTTCGACAGTCTGTTCTGCGTTCTGCTCGGCGGCTTGGACGACGGGCTCCTGCTGCTCGACCAAAGTGGCCAATTCCTGGAAGAGTTGGCCGAGCTCCATCATAGTCTGCTCAATGCGCTGCAACTCGCTGTGGCGGGCTCTGACGTTGCCCAGAATAGTGTTGGCGTGGCCTGTCCGATTGGATTTGAGCTGGTTAAGTCATTAGCATACGGTGCCGACATGCCGAGAAAATCGGTCAAAAACAACATCAAAACATACCGCTGTTTGGAAAACACCTTCGTCACCCCAGTCCATCTGTGTCGCTTGCTCGACTTCATCTTCCGTCGCTTCCGGGTTGACGATGCGGTACTGGCGGGCAATTTGGTCGCGGTACCGTTTCTGGTAATCGCGCTCGATCTGCTGGTATTTTTCGAGTTCCGACTTGAAAGTGTTCTTCAAAGAGTTGAGCTGTGCGGTCTTGGTTGCGCGCGATCCGTCCTGTGTCTTGGATAGATCCCTCTCGAGGGCCTTGATGCCCTCCTTGACGCCGGTGTTGCGGATTTGCGTCGCGGAGACAGCCTGCTCAAGCTGGGCGCTGGTGCTGCCGTCGGGGGAACCGAGAGAGCGCTGGTGAAGCTGGGCAATGCCCTCAATATCGGAAGTCAGGCCATTGATTTCTGTGCGCAGTTGTTGGACCCGGGCGAGGAAATCTTGCTGGCTCAGAGTACGAGGCGCGGATTGCCCGGCATACTGGCCCGCCTCTCCGTACGGCTGCATCTCGTACTGGCCTTGGCCATATTGAGGCTACAATTCAAAGAAAGTCAGCGATATGGAATTGAGAGGGCATGCGCGGACTGAATTGAAGGGCGACGGACCTGTTGGTTGTCATAGCCGTATCCGCCCTCGGCCTGGGGGCCCTGGGCGTAGGGATTTTGGTTATACTGTTGGTACGACATGTCTGACTCAAAGCGACTGTCAATGTCGACGACAGACAGTGCGATTCGAACCGCGATTTATTCGGCGAGCGAGCAGAATTGAATGAGAGACTTCGGCGCTATATGGTGTGATTGAGCCGTCGGGCTCGTGAGATTGTTGTGGTGGTGCAAGGTGAAGGACCTTTCGGCTGATGTTTGGTTGTTAAATGACGTTGGACCTCCGACCGCTGACAGGAACTGGGAAGTGCTGGAGAGACGCTGAAATGACAATGAGGACGGGCCCAATCAGGCACCGGGACCTGTCAGAGCGGATACCCCGGGCTGTGTATATGGTTGGATGGAGTCGCTCGTGAACGGGGCGACAGTGGGCAGGATTGGCCGATCTGCTTTCCGGGGTCCCTTTTTTTTTCTTCTCGTTCCCTTCTTCCTGTTAAATTCGGACCAAGAGGAAACAGATAAACAAGCTTTACGAAGGAAATTCCTTCTTTTAAAATGAACCCAGAGATGAGAAGGTACTTGAGGCTGTCCACCGCACCTTTCAGATCGTAGTCAGACTCGATACTTTACTCGATTCCCAAGACGTCGGCCGCGAACAGTGAAAGACTGGATGAAGCGAACACTAGGTCAGTGACATCAGAAGATGTTGCGCCGACGGGCGGGGCGAAGCTTATTATACCCGGGACGCATGTTCTTCTCTGTAGCGGCAAGGTACCTTAGGGACAGACGGACGGACGGTCTCACCCACCCCCAGCGAGTCCCAAGGGTCTGTTTCCTTCTCTCACTAAAGGTGAGGTGGGCAACAGTTGGGTCTCACACATACACACACACACCTCACACAGGTTACTTTTTAGGTGCTCTGCTCTGTGTCTGCCCACCGCCGTCCGACGGGCCTTTGGTGCTGGCTGGAGGCTGGAGGCTGGAGCTGCCCCTCGTTCTCTCCGGGGGTCCGGCCAGGCCTGTCCGTTTCCTTCTCATTCCCGTCCTTTCCCATCCTCGCGTGGCGAGCAACGCCCAGCCACCCCGCTGCGGAAAAAGTGACGATTGACAGCTGAGCAGCAGAATCGCAATGGAATGGGGAGCGTTGCTGCGTAGAACATGGGTTGCTGAGTGGCGGCGACGGCAACGGCAGATGTCAAATCATGTCTGCGCCCCCAAAAATAGACCTTCAGACTCGGAATGCGGCTACAGCACAGTTTGGTTGGTGATTTTGAACCAATTGGCTCTAAGCTGCATCGCATACTGGACCCTTTCAGGTCCTACCTACCTGATGCCAAAGCCGAGAAACGGCAGGCAGAAGCTCAAAGTCCGCCGGCTTGTTCGCTGACCACACTGGTCCCTAGCCCAGGAAATCGTCACCATTTTGTGGCTGTGCGAACACTTGCAGTTAACACACCTCGACGTTAACGTCCTAAGCCACTCGTTCCTCTTGCCGCGTATTAGGAGACATCCTCGGGCAGTGCTCAGTGCTGTACTGCCTCTATGATTACCCACTTCGCCTTTTCCTTCTGGCCCTCTACTCCGTACACCATGCTTCTATCGCACAAGGCGATCATAGGCGATGAAGGCCACACCGACGATTAGTCAATGAGAGCCACTACGACCAAAGTGCCTCCCGCGGCTTCTGCGTACTTTCGGCCCGTATCCGTATTGCGCGTAGGTTCGTGGCGGGGCCTCCATGACACCGAACTCTGTAAGCGACCATTGGGACCATCTGATGTATTCCATCCCATGCTCAACCTTCGCTCACTGAGATCTTGGCGTTACCACGCGCCAAGGCTGGCTGCTGCTTACCGTTCATTGGCTCGTAATAGCTATTGCAAAGAAAGATGCCCGTCTCCATCTCGAGGCGTCACCTAACCTTGTTGAATGGCATTGCACCCTACGAGCCGCGGCGAACTCGGTGGTATTAGTCGTCAACTCAATTCGTGGTCATGAGCCGCACTCCTCCAGCTACGGACGTCGACGTGCTTTGTCATGAGCAAATCAACGGTAAGAACTCAATTGCCTGACTCTCAACGGCCGGCCACACTAATCGCAACCAATCGGATGTAATACTTATTATTCAACAACATTTTGATGCTTTTTTGCCTGCCTTGACTTGTCTTCTCCTGAAGCTTGGGAAGTCTCTGTTTTCTACACTCCACCATCTTGCCGTTGTAAGCCGCCAAGAAACTACGGCGTTCTGGCTTGGATATCTTTAGTTGAACATCGTTCTTCATCTTCCACTTCGTCTAGTCCCATGAGTGCCTTTACCACGACTCTCTTCGTCTCACGTCCATCGACGTCGCTTGACCGGCGCCTGGGTATTGTGGCTTCATTGAAACCCGCGTCCTCGTTACCTACGGCTCCGTTTCGTGGCGCACTGGTTGACAAGTCCTGTTCGTCGTTGCGGCATTTCGCCCACGCAACGAGCCCATCTTCTGGGCGCTGATCGTAATGTACTTGCCCCATGATCTCGCACGGCAGCGACGCCTAAGCCTTCGACCGCATCTGTCATGTCGGTTCTCTCCGGTGGCCCTCTCTCACAGGTACTCCTTCTTTCTACCAGTACGAGTGTACTGTGTAAGGTGCCACTCAACATCGCCATCCTTGTTTTCCAAGGTTCCACCGCGAATCTCGAAGGGGCGCATCGTCATCCGAGGTCCAACCTCAGCGAGCTCGACAGAATCGTACGAAGTCCGGACAAAAACGTGACTACCAAGGGGTTAGCAAAGGTCTGGCGGGGATCGGAGCTTCGGATGAGCTTACTGTCTGACTTCAATGGAGTCTTCATTGTTCACAAATGTCACTACCCTTGACCCTACCTTAGCCTTGGTGGTCGGGGGATCGAGCGGAGGGAAAAGATGTTTCAGGATCTTCACGATCCGCTGTCCAAGCCGGCTTGAAGAGTTGATTGATGATTAGTGACCGTCGAACGACCTCCGAAGCCGATATCTCATACCTCTTAAATCCCTCAAATATTAACCGTGGGAAAGCCTCTGAGACGGATCCTCTGATACTTCCGGGTATATCTGCTCTGAGTACAACGTTGTGGAGCGACATGGATAGCGTAGGGCCGTGGGGAAGATGAGAAATGCTGTTAGAGAGGTTCGTCAGCTGGTGGCTCTTCTTGGATTCAATATAAAGTGCGTACGTCATGGCAGTCGGTACACCGCGATGTTCGTGAAGGAGGACAATGTCTGTGAGCCCGTTGGACTTGCTAGACTGCACAATGTCCGGAAGAATCAAATTTCCACGATTGAGCCGAACGGATGTAGGGAAGAGCAATCTGATCTCTTTGGAGAAGGCTGAAAGCCTTGAGGACGGGTCTCTTGAAGTCTGAAAGGGTGAGCTTCTGCTTATGTGCCTGGATTGGAAGAGCAGAAGAAACTAACTGTAACCAAAAGCCGTGGCTCCGAGATTCCCGACAGCTGGGAGTATTCGTCGTCGAGATCCATCTCCTCATCGACTGTTCGATCGGGTCGCGACTCGTCATATTGGTAGTCTTTCCGCAGCGCCTTGTTCTTTGCGATTTCGGGGTCGATGGGCTTGCCAGAAGCAAGAGCAGATCGTAGCTGGGCGCGCTTCTCGGTCGTCTCCGCCTCTTTCAATATAAGCGCCTTGCGATAGAGGTAGTCGCGCCGTTGTCGGGCCTGTTTCCGGATCATGTTGGGCTGTTGGTATGTGAGATGGTGGGATGTCAATGCTAGAGTTCCGCAATGCATCCAACGTACCTTGGACAGGCTGATCGAGAAAAAAAACCTTATCAGGTGGCAGGTATCCACTTTCAAGCACCCCAATGTGACAGTCACGTGGTGATAAGCTACATCCCACCAAAACACCACCCTTTCGCCGCTGCTCTGTCGGGCCTGGGATCTTTCTTGGGTGTTTGGATTCACCAACGAAAAGGCACGCAACCACTCCCGACAAGTCTCTGCCCCGTTGGTGTACCTTTGAGGTTTCCGCACGAATCCCCCAACTTCACATACCGATATGATGTGACCTTCCCCCTCCCCGATCCACCTCGAATCCCCCTTCCGTACGACCTGAGCCTACTGAGGCTCTGCGACGCCGAACCATTCGAGAACCATAAAGAAGCTGAAGTAAGTTGCGCATTTTCCATAACACCAAAACGATGCTCCCGACACCACCGCCGGCACATGCAAAGGCATTTCTACAGTTACATCGTATGCGACAGCCCACTGACACTCTTGGAAGGGAGATCAGCAGAGAGAAGTAGAAATCCGGAATACCGCGAATATGGAGAGCGCCTTCAAGAATCTCGGGAACCACCTAGTTTCCGACAGCGCCGCTGCGATCAAGGCAGGTGACGATGTCTTGACCGGTATCGATGCCGACGAGAGCCTTCTCTACGGCAAATTTGGCGGCCGCGACGGTCGCCGCCGTGCCGACGATGACGACAACCAAACCGAGCTTTACGATGATGACGATGTGGACAGCCTGACTAGCATGCCTGTTGGGGCTATGAAGGATCTCAATATCGGAAGACCCAAGGAGGAAGATAGGAAGCTTCCCCCTCACGCTTGCGCGTATGGCATGCCTCCGAGCTTCCGAGCCCTCTCTTGAATCTAACACTGGCTTAGGTATTGTGGAATTCATTCCCCGAGCTCCGTCGTCAAGTGCCTTGGCTGCAACAAGTGGTTCTGCAGTGCCCGCGGAAATGCTACCTCAAGCCACATTGTTTCCCATCTGGTCCGGGCGAGACACAAGGAAGTCCAGCTTCACCCGGAATCTACCCTGGGTGATACCGTACTCGAGTGCTACAACTGTGGAACCAAGAACGTCTTTCTCTTGGGCTTCATTCCTGCCAAGTCGGATACCGTTGTCGTGCTGCTTTGTCGTCAGCCTTGTGCTGCAAACACCTCTTCCAAGGATATGAGCTGGGATACCTCTCGATGGCAGCCCCTAATTGAGGAGAGAGCTTTCCTGACCTGGCTCGTCGCGACGCCCTCCGATGCCGAGCAACTCCGCGCCAGACACCTCACCCCGCCGATGATTGCCAAGCTGGAGGAGATGTGGAAGGAAAATGCGACTGCTACGGTTGCCGACCTTGAGAAGGCTGCTAGCATCGACGACGACCCTCATCCCGTCCTCCTCAAGTACGACGACCCTTATCACTACCAGAACATTTTTGGCCCGCTCGTCAAGATGGAATCTGACTACGACAAGAAGCTCAAGGAAGCCCAGTCTGAGGATGGACTCACGGTCCGCTGGGATTACGGTCTGAACAACAAGCACCTGGTCAGCTTTGAACTGCACAAGATAGAGTCGGGTGACGTCAAGCTGGCCGTTGGCGATGAAATGCGACTACGTTACAAGGGCGAGCTCCGCCCTGCCTGGGAGGGAGTTGGCTATGTCATCAAGATCCCCAACAATCAGTCTGACGAAGTCACCCTCGAGCTGCGTAAGGCCGGCAACGAGAAGACTGTCCCGACTGAATGCACCCACAACTTCTCAGCAGACTATGTCTGGAAGGCTACCTCGTATGATCGCATGCAGTATGCCATGAAGACTTTCGCCGTGGACGACATGAGTGTCTCGGGTTACATTTTCCACAAGCTCCTGGGTCACGACGTCGCTGTTGCGCCGATGAAGACGACTATGCCTAAGAAGTACAGCGTCCCCGGCCTTCCCGACCTCAATACTAGCCAGATCGCAGCCATTAAGGCTGTGCTGTCGACCCCGCTCAGCTTGATTCAGGGACCTCCGGGCACTGGCAAGACTGTCACTTCGGCGACCATTATCTACCATCTGTGCAAGATGAATAATGGACAAGTCCTCGTGTGCGCGCCCTCCAACGTCGCTGTCGACCAGCTCTGTGAGCGCATCCACCGCACTGGCCTCAAGGTCGTTCGTCTTACAGCCAAGTCCCGAGAGGATGTGGAGTCCTCCGTGAGCTTCCTTGCTCTTCATGAGCAGGTTCGTATGAATGACAGCAATGGTGAGCTTGTCAAGCTTGCGCAGCTGAAGACCGAGCTTGGCGAACTGTCCAGCCAGGACGAGAAGAAGTTCAAGCAGCTCACCAAGGCCGCCGAAAGAGACATTCTACACAACGCAGATGTCGTCTGCTGCACTTGTGTCGGTGCCGGTGATCCTCGTCTGTCAAAGATGAAGTTCCGTAATGTCCTCATCGACGAGTCGACTCAATCGGCTGAGCCCGAGTGTATGATTCCTCTCGTTCTCGGATGCAAGCAGGTTGTCCTCGTTGGTGACCACAAGCAATTGGGCCCTGTCATCATGAACAAGAAGGCTGCCAAGGCTGGTCTCAACCAGTCCTTGTTCGAGCGCCTTGTCAACTTACGCTTGGTTCCCATTCGCCTCAACATCCAGTACCGCATGCACCCTTGCTTGTCCGAGTTCCCTTCCAACATGTTCTACGATGGATCTCTCCAGAACGGTGTTACAGTCAAGGATCGCGTTCGCCGCGATGTCGACTTCCCTTGGCCTGTTGTTGATATGCCGATGATGTTCTGGTCCAACCTTGGCAATGAGGAAATCTCGGCATCCGGAACGTCTTACCTCAACCGTACCGAAGCCTCCAACGTGGAGAAGGTTGTAACCCGCTTTTTCAAGGCCGGCGTAAAGCCTTTGGACATTGGTGTTATTACTCCGTACGAGGGTCAGCGAAGCTACATCGTTAGCACCATGCAGAACACTGGCACATTCAAGAAGGAGAGCTACAAGGAAGTCGAGGTTGCCTCCGTTGACGCCTTCCAGGGTCGTGAGAAGGACTTCATTGTTCTGTCCTGTGTTCGTTCCAACGACAACCAGGGCATCGGTTTCCTTTCGGATCCCCGCCGTCTCAACGTCGCCTTGACTCGTGCCAAGTACGGTCTCGTCATTATTGGTAACCCCAAGGTCCTTTCCAAGCATGAGCTTTGGCACCACCTCCTTGTCCACTTCAAGGACCGCAAGTGCTTGGTTGAGGGGCCTTTGACCAATTTGCAGACCTCGCTCTTGCAATTCGGAAAGCCCAAGACAGCTTATCGCCAGAAGATGAGCCAGCCCCCTCAATTCAATGCCGGTGGCGGGTTCCCCAACGGCGGCGGCAACCGCTTCAACGGTGCTGGCTCCACTCGCGATTTTGACTCGGGATCTATGATGTCCTACATTCCCGACGACGTCTCCTCCATCCATAGCTCTCTGGGCGGTGCCGGCTTAAACACCACTTACCCTCCCATCTTCTCGAGCTTCACCCCTGATCAATGGCCTGGCCTCCCTGGAGTGCCCGGATCCAGCCGTTCCGGCATCAAGAGAGGAGGTCGCGCCACTGAGAGCATTGCGGGCGAAAGCGTCGCAAACTCCGAGTACACAGATGCTAGCGCCAGCGTCATCGGTGCCAAGGGTGTTGGACAGGGCGGTGTCAGCCTGGGCGCCGGTCTCCAGGACGCCATACACGGTATGCGCCCTGCGTCCTACAGCCACAGCGACCGCCTAAAGCATTATGTCGAGAGTGGTGGTCGCATGGGAGCCGGCAATGGCTTCGGCCGTCGCTACGACGACGACGAGAAGAGCGTCAGCACCGCCTTCCACAGCCAGATTGGTGGCGGCTTCGACTGAGTGCCGAGATGGATTGGGACAGGGACTTGCTTTACCAAACCCAAGGGTTACTTATACCTCATCCTCTGAAGGCTTCAGCCCTCGCCGCACCATGCTCGGTGCTGTACACAGGAACAGGCAGTGTGCCTGAGCCTAGAGGCGTCTCGGAATACCGGCTCCGGTCATTGAGAATCACTCCACGTGGTCGACCATTCGGCTTCCAACGACGACAACGACGTGCCGCAGGCGGGTCATGGCCCGACCAGCGAGAGCTGCAACCGACGGAGGGGGTCGCACGCGCGCCCTCAACGGCCCGTACTTTGCAGATTGTCAATCAGAGAGATGTCGAGTGTTAGCAAGGGGATGAGATCTGGCGGGGATAGGAGGTTATGCTCAGGCGGAGGACACGGGTCAGCGTCTGAGGAGGCAACTCAAAATGCGGTCGAGCATTAAGGTCTCAGAAGCGATAAGTCTTCTATGGCACAGTGCAATTACTGCGAGGAAGCCCACGGCAGATGTCATGCAGTTTCTATGCTGCACGCAGAAAGCGCACTACGAGATCCAGCTTAGAGTTTAGCTTCTTAGTTTAATCACCGTCTTTATTTGCACCTTGTGCTCTGCCCCCCGGTTGCGCTAATCATCGCGAGACTAAGGTACCCTCTCAGTATTCTTATCCACCGGCCTGGCCGGGCCGGAGAGGTAAGCTTGTCAATATGGCACACGCGGACCCTGCGTTCCTCAAGTATCGGATATACTCCGAATTCAGGTACCTTTTCGAAGTAAGTGCCGTGGTGCCTTGCTTATTACGGAGTACTTGTTTGGATTCAAAGGGTAGAAGAACTGTATCCTCTTTTTTTCCTTGCTGATGGCGTAGCATCAGCCAATCCATTGATAGACAGGGGGCAGGCTCCGGCACCCCACAGACTTGAAAATAGATTGGCAGCCGTGGCAGCGACGGGGGGCCACCCATGTCTAAGCGCGGGAGCCTCACCCAATCTGACAACGACAAGCAGGTCACCACCCCCTGACAGTCCTGACGGACATGCGTTCTTCGCGAGAACGGGCCATCTGATGGGAGGTCCACTATGACGATCCGTCTGATTCTTGGCTTCGCAAAACGTTTGGCGAGCGGATTCCCCAAATGGAGTTTCGAGTCGCAGCAAAGCGGCCAGCCACCGGGCGGCAGTGTTCGGCGAGATTCGAGAAAAGGGTGAAGACCGAAAGGGAGGGGGAAACTTGGGTGCGCTTGGGAAGGGCGGGAACGGCTTTCCTTGGCGTTTTTACGTACACGTGTTGAGCAGGTGAGCATCAATGCCTTTACCTTCTTTGGCGGTGGGAAAACAAGCCCGATGGCTCCGTAACCCCCTTGGCCAAGGATTGTTTGGTTCTCGACCGTCAGAAGAAGCTTTGGCGCTTCCGCTTCTTCTTCCGACCTTCCACTGCCAAGGTTTCGTTTCTTTTCCATCCAAAGAGGTCGCACTTCACCTCGTATCGGAGCGTTGGTTCTTAGTTCCAAGCCGTCCTCCTCCGCTGGACGAACCGACAAACTCTTCCTCGAAACTGCCGTCATTCACCTCGTCTTGACGGGGAAACGACATGAGTAACCAGTTGCGCCGAGCAATGCTGCCGCTGCCCTCTTTATCCCCGTACCCTGAGCCGCCAACATGATCACCATACGCCGACGACCCGCGAGGGTTCCAATCTACCTGGGCATTGCCCTGACACTGTTGTTGGTCTGGCATACCGGCTTTCCCGCCGGCTGGAGCGCTGGAACCCTCAACTACAACGGCATCCGCTACCGCAAGTCAAGCTACGACTGGGCGAGCCTGAAGCCCGAATATCCTCTAGAGAAGCCGCTGCGTACGCCTCCGAAAGGCACTCCCGTCGAACTACCACGAGTCCAGTACGATTTCGACAGCAGCAAAAAGCAGGCGGGAAAGAAGACGAGCAAGAAACTTTCACACGATGGGAAAGGCGACCGTGATCGGGAGAGGCAGACTGAGTCGAGACGGGCCGCTGTGGTCCATGCCTTCCGGCGGAGCTGGGCGAGCTACAAGGAGAACGCGTGGACGTGGGACGAGCTTACTCCCGTATCGGGCCATGGCAAAACCACATTTGGTGGTTGGTCGGCCAGTCTGGTCGACGGCCTTGATACTCTATGGATCATGGGAATGCACGATGAGTTCCGCCGGGCCGTTAGGACTGTCGCGCTGATCGACTGGTCCAACACTACGGAGACGGCTGCCAACATGTTTGAGACGACGATCCGCCACCTGGGCGGCCTCATCAGCGCCTACGACCTGAGTGGCGAGCCGGCCTTGCTGGCTAAGGCCGTTGAGCTGGGTGACATGCTGTACATGGGCTTTGATACTCCGAACCATATGCCGCCTTTCTGGTTCAAGTTCTCCGACGCCAAATACGGCACGCAAAGAGTGGGCGAGCGCGAGTCCTCGGCTGCGGGATGCTCGCTCTCCATGGAATTTACCCGCCTATCCCAGCTGACGGGCGATGCGAAATACTACGATGCCACAGAGCGAGTGAAGGAGTTCCTCGTCAAGACGCAGACGCGCAGCAAGCTGCCCGGCATGTGGCCCATGTATATGAACTACCGCGATGAGAAGGTGGAGGACAGCTCCTTCACGATTGGCGCCCAGGCCGACTCCCTCTACGAGTATCTGCCCAAGATGCATGCCTTGCTAGGCGGTCTCGACAGCGAGTACGGGAAGCTCACAGTAGACTCTTTCGACGTCATCGACAAGCACATTCTTTTCAGGCCTATCCTTCCTAATAAAACAGACATCCTCATCCCAGGCAACGCCTTCGCACACGGCGATAACGTCGACCTGACGCCCGAGATGCAGCACCTGGGCTGCTTCGCTGGCGGCATGTACGGCCTTGCTGGCAAGCTCCTGGGCCGGGACTCGTACGTCACCATTGGCGAAAAGATCTCCCGCGGATGCGCCTGGGCATACAAAGTCTTCCCCACGGGCATTATGCCCGAGATCATGACATTCCACCCCTGTAACGAGCCGAACCACGGTGCTTGCGAATGGGATCAAAAGACGCACGGCAGCAAGAGCGACGTGCCTGGCGGCGTCAAGCAGGTCCGCGACAGCCGTTACATGCTCCGCCCCGAGGCCATCGAGAGCATTTTTTACATGTACCGCATCACGGGCGACGACGAGTGGCGCGATGTTGCGTGGGACATGTTTCAGAGCATCCGGCGCGCGACGGAGACGCCGCTGGCGTACTCCTCCATTGCCGACGTCAATGTTCAGCCGGGGCAGACGACCAAGACGGACTCGATGGAGAGTTTCTGGTTCGCTGAGACGCTGAAGTATTTTTATCTCATCTTTTCGCCACCCGACGTGATTAGTCTGGACGAGTGGGTGCTCAACACGGAAGCACACCCGTTCAAGCGGCCCAAGAGGACGGATCACGTCGAGACTGAGGCGGAAATTCGGGAGCAGTCCAAGTAAAATTATACTTGAGACGACCATCACATATGGTGACTGGTGGGAGCGCTAGCATCAGGAGCATTTTAGATGGGTTCATTGCATTGGGCGGATACATATGTGCACTAGTATAGACAAGAAGAGGGCGCGGCACGTTGCGAGTCTTCGCTTAGAAGCAAGGAAATGGTATAAATCCACCTCACGCTTCTCTTCCTTTGCTTTCAATACTGGCTGTTCGAGCAATGCCTTGACTCCTATGACCACTACCTTTCGTTCATTCATGCCCCGAATCTCCTGCCCAGATGACAGAGTTGCTCCACCTCGGCGCGCTTTGAAGAATCCTTGTGACAGCCATCTCTCCCTCGGAAACCCTTCCCAGTCGATGGAATATACATTGTTATCAACGAGAGATGAAGAGCCCGAGTCAGGTATGAATCAAACTACACCACACTGCATGTAGTCGGTAAACGTGCTAGCAGCACAAGGTATTTGGAACATGAAAGCTCGTTGTTTTGATAACGTGTCACCTCTCGAGAAGCACCTCGGAGACGAGCTGGCGTCAAGTAACAAGACAGGGTTCATCGAACGGTATTACAGAACCCAAACAATCTGTCACTCAGGGGCTCAGAGAGGCAAAGGTAAAGGGGAGGGAAATATGGCCAAAGACCGAAAGCTCGGGCACGTATCGTCATCGAGCAGACAGTTCGTTGAGCCCTGCTTGCCTCATCTCATTTCCTTCTTTCTACATCGTTGATTGGCAAAGCGCTATAAAGGCTGGAGTCTAACGATGATGCACTCTTGACGAACGTCCAGAGACAATTAGCGGGAAGCCAGGAGATGCTCCTAGAAAGTCAACCTGGACTTGGGCTCTTTATATAACCTGCTACTCAACCGCCACCTGGTTTCATATTCTGGTGGGAGGTATCATGTCCTTCTCGCTATGTAGCTGTGTAGGTTTCTGCGATCACGTACGCAACCTATCCCTCATTTCTTAAAGTAGCCGCGAGCACCATTCACGAGAACTATAACAGCGAAACCGCAATCATCTCATTCCCAGATGCACCACTTCTCACAGTTAGCACAAGCCTAACCTTACTCCTCAGATACTCAGAGAAGCAAGAAGTTGCCGCCAAACGTCTGCCTTCAGACTCGGATTTGCGCAGCGGCTGCGGCGCATTCGCAGATTACCCATATCCGCCAGAACCAGTCTACAAATACAAACCATGCGTCAACCACAAAATTCAGCAACGGGTTTGAAACATGGCTTTGCTCGCCGACGGGATCTGGTTAGTATGCAGTGCTCAGCAAATAAGAAAGGAAAAAAAAACAAACCTGCCGGATCTCTGCTTGGCGGCTGAAAAGACCAAAAGTGGTTTACGGTATCTTCAGAGCCCCAACTCGGAGACTCGGGCGAGCCAACGAACAGAGAGGGGACTGAATGAGGTGTCTTTCGACGCAAGAAAAAAGCAAACGGTGACAGCAAGGGCCCGGTTCGAATTTGTTCAGTCGTCTCTCCAGTCTTACCAGACACTCTAGATTGCCGTAGATGACCCCACAGCAGCACGGGTTTGCCTGGGGTCCATGTCGTGAAGCCGCTGCGTTGAGCTTTCTTTTCCACTCACCGATGTTGACGACGAAACGATCAAGAGTATTGAATCCGTTTGCGCCCATCGTTCCGCTCAATGAAGACGAGTTATTTTCCCCTTCCCCTCGCGCACTTTACCACAGCATTTTTTGCCTATTCCGCGATACAAGGCGAGAACAGCAATACCACCGAACTCTGGGAGATGGATACTCTGGAAGCCCCAGGGGATGGGACAGTGGGTTCATCGTCTGTGCGATGGCCGCGGGTCCTAGCCGGATATATGCCTCCTATCTTCTCTTTTTGCGAAAGAAAACAAGGCGCTAGTGGTAAAGGTGATCAGCAAACCCCGTTTCTGGATCTCGAGACAGTATGAGACCGATATGATGATCCACTGCCTCCGGGAGGTGGAGTCGAGGCCCGAGTGTTCACCTTACAGGAACGAGTGCCGGGCTGCTATGTACATCCGTAGTCGCGGGGCATGTATCCGTATTATCGTGAGTCTGTATTTAGCGGCGGGTCGTCGCACAACCAGCGGTACCGAGCGGCCACACAGAGCCACCCTCCCCAGCAGCGTAATTTTTGGGGAACGATCTTCATGCACAACGGCAGATGGAATAATCATCCGTCCGAGTTTGTGGAGAGGGAAAAGCGTTGTTCAAGTCGCAGGTTCGGGCGCACGGGAAATTGGTCAGGAGGCTGAATCAGCAAGGTGAGCAATTGCAAATGATTGTAGTGTTTGAGATGTGTCGTGGTACTGTGCCGCTTTGTGTTGCGTTGCAGTTCACTTTATCCATCGGAGGTTTTTGGTTTGAAAATATGCAGTCGATATTGGTCCTTCAGGTCCCGCTCATAGATGATAGATGGGTGGACATTGATTGCGATTGCGTTGCGCACCCACTCATACGTGTGCCGGTGTTCACAATGAATCCGCCAATCGTGTAGGCTCCGCCTGGATAAACAGTTTGGGGGGCCATGTGGGGTTCCAGTTCGCTTATGTTTGACTAGCAGAACTGAATCCTTCGCATCGTTGCGCTTGACTTGTTGCTGGTTAGTCTAGGCTTGAAGAAGCGTGGACCGTGGTTCTGGCCACAATATGTGTTGGAGATGATCCGCTGACGAGAGACGAGACTCATTGATAATCGAGACGGTCCGCGGAGGAACACTGTCCACAATGAGAAGTTGAGACCGGTTACCAACGAGGCTACGTGGGTGGGCATGACGGACCGATGATGCCTGCCATGAGTTGAGAAGCGTCTTTATAGCTTTGTTCTGGACCAATGTGTCTTGCGCTACTTCCGCGCCTATAACGTTAGAAACATAAACGGACGCAGGTACCGAGCGCCCCGTGCCCCCACCGTCAATCTCATCCGAACCGAGTTGTTTAGTCGGTGACTCGGGTTCGCTCGAGACTCTAGAAGGGAGGAACGCGGCCGCCGGCAACATTTTGGGGGCCGGTTGATGGGTGATGGTGCGGAGGGAAAGGATCAGTGCAGAAGGCCGCTGCAAGCCTGCGACCCGTACCTGTGCGTTGCATGGCGTAGGCCAGCAAGCTGGGTTTCTTTCGTCTTAGCCTCGAGGTAGCAAGCTCTCCAGGCGGCGCTTGGAGCGTTTTAGGTACTTGTTGGATCAGCGCCCAAATAGATCTTGGTAATGGTTCCTGGCCCAGTGGCCGTGAGCCGGGAGGAGGATACATTGCTGGGCGATGCTGACGGGTCGAACTGGGATGAGGTAGCATAGCGTCGCGCTGTTGCCGGGTAGGCGACCGACTACCTGGCTACATTTGGCCCTCGAAAGGCTGGGTTGGGGGTGGTGTCAGGAGGAATTGCTCCCGCAGATTTGTTCTTAGTATCTCTGTTATGGCACCCAGCTGGTACTTCCAAAAACAAGTCGAAGGGGGATAGTCAGAATGGCCATGTATGAGTTCATTTAAAATTCCACAGCGATCGTGGTCAATGTGTTCTCTTAACATCACGAATGAGAGAGAGGAAAGGTTGGATGGAAGATGAAGCCAATAGAGCATGTTGGAAGAGGTCGTGTTGTGGGGTGCGGCTGTGGAGGTGAAAGGGATGGATGAACCAGACAGACGGGTCTTTTGGCACGGCATAGACAGGCGGATGGGATGGAATGGAATGGAATGGACGAAAGACGGCAGGAACAAAGGGGGTGCCGTTACTGTACCTGCGTGCTGCCCATCATCCGGCTGACAATGGGACGAAGTCGCGGCCCGTGAGATGAGACGCGCATAAGATACCTTACTTTTACTTATTAAGGAGTTCGTGCTCTGTATGCTAGACACGAAACATTTGCAGAAATCCGGGGATTTAGTTCGTCCCATTGATTGCGCTCCACTGTGCAAAAATAACACGTCTATCCGTAAGGTAAAGTAAGGTACCCCGTGAGGTACTCCGTAAAGTACTTACTCGAAGACAAACGCTCTTCCAGAAGATTCAAGTCGAGGTTAATCTATCGGTGGTCGGTTCCTTTCCGTCATGGCAAGGAAGTCAATGCCACTAAAGCGTCAATCAGCAATTGCCTTTTAATTGGCAACTTGGATTGGTTCCAGTCCCCTGGCCACTGAGCTTCGTCGCATTCCCCTGCCTGAAAGCTTGCGTATAGAGGGAACTCGGGATGATCCTTGATCCGTTGTACGCCGCGAAATAGGTCTGTACTCTGCAGTGCCTGCTTATTAGAGTAAGCCAGCTTCGAGACAAGACATGCGAACGTAGTCGAGAGAAAAGCAAGCACAAACAGCCATGGCTTGTTCCTTGGGCGATTGAGCGGCTAGTCCGGGCAAGGTCGAGCAGCAAAGGGCGGCACCTGATGCTGTTCACCGTCATTGTCCGTGCCTCGCGCGTCCCAAGGGATGAGATTGAGCCAATTATGCTTGATGCGCTTGAGCTCGACGCTCGGCGTAGCCTGCTTTCTGAGTTCTTGTAGTGAGGTGATCGTCATGATGCAAGGTCACGCGCCGCAATCGATGGCCACAACGAACAAGGTGAAAAGAGAAGCCGGCATTTGAAGTTGAGCAACGAAAGGGGAGCCACAGATGAGGTAGGGAGGTTGCTTGGCCCTTGTTAGGTTCCTGAAGATGCTATTCGGCTAGGAGTCAGATACATGCATGAGGTGGTCGTGCAAGAAGGACTACGTGCGATGAGAGACATGGAGGCTACCTTTACGTACCTGGGTAGGTACCGTAAGTCCATCATTGGGGAGAGGGGGGCCTCGTCTTGGAAGCCTTGCTTTGTGTCGAGTCTATCGCGCTCGCCCGCCGTTTTTCAGTCTTTCATCGACCTCTCGGAGGGTCCATTGGCAAATTAACACATAATTTTCGATGCATTTCGAGGCGAGGTAAGTAAGCCGGTCGTCGAATAGGTTGGTTACCTTAAAGTAACTGTCCCTTAATATACGCATCTAAGACCATCCAGATGTATCAAAGTACTTTCCGTCGAGCTTTACTACTTAGGGCGAGGTGCGGTGTATGCTAAGACATGACCCAAAACAATGGAAGACGTACAGGTGGACATGCGGTACCTGCCAGTTGAGGTAGGTTTGCAAGCATGGAAGCAACCCAACGAGCAAAGCACCAAGCACGCGGCAAGAAGCAATAAGCAAGCAGGTGCAACTTGGGCAATGGCAATGGCAACGGTAGGAGCAACAGCAATACCTACCTAGGTAAGGCAGGTAGGTACCTCAGCAACGAGCAGCACCTGCCCTCCTGACCTACCTCACCTCGAACCACTTCACCTCGAGGAAGGGGCCTTCCTTTACTTTTGCTTACCTAGCTACCTTGCCTTACCTTCCTTCTCAACGTGCCAATGTACTTTGCCATAGATGCGTAGGTAGACCAATACATAGGGATACCTTCGGTGCTGACAGTACCTACCTAAGGTAGGTAGGTAGCAAGAATCTCTCATCTTCATCCTCCTCCCTCTTGGGACTCGAGTCTTTCTCTCTCTCCCTCTCTCTCTCCTCTTCGTTCTCACTGCTTCAGGAACCAGAACTTCTCTCACTCTCCTTCCGTCGCCAATCCAACCACGAATTGGTCACAAACTCCGTTCATCTTGACGAATCACACGACTTTCTACCGATAGCCCGCCCCGTTCCGTTTCAACTACCGGCGCCTTATCATTGTCGTCGGCGGATTGTTCGGCCAACAAATCCCCCATCTGCAGTCTGCAGTCGATATCTTGCCTCTCCTCTCCTCTCGCCGCCTCCTCTCCAGTCCCCACGCTCTCCTCTCGCCCGGGGTGCACAGCTGCAACTGCAAGAAAGAACCCATGGGGCCTTGTCTCACCGACTGCCACCACCATTACCACCACCAACTCTTGGCTGGCTCGATATAGTCTCGTTCCATCTGCATGCCCTGCAGCACCGCCGTTGATTTCCTATTGGCAGCGGCACCTGGTCCAGCAGCATTATCTTCCGGTATCCTGCCAGGGCCTCGTCCTTCTCGGATTTGACGGGCGCCCCAAAAAGACAACGCAAACGTATCTGCCCATTTCCCGTCTGTAAGTCACTTCTCTTATGCTTTATTGCTTCTTTCTATCCTCTCCTTCGCGCTTCGCTTGCCGCCTCGCTCATGTCACGTCTTCCCGTTCGCCCCCTTGCCTGGCCGAATTCCTCCTTCTGTTACAGTTGTGTTGTTGCAAATATCACCTCGTCTTCCCATCTTATACCCTCCACGCAAACCACGGCAGCAAATGCAACAGACCGACAATCCCTGGCCTCCATTGCATCCCGAATACTACTTCACTTCCTCCGCCACCTTGGCCTCATTCTCCCTCGACAACTTGCAGCATCGGATCCATCTACGGGCAGCAGGCAAACAACTTCGCCTTCCTATCAGTGCGGCCTGCCCAGCAATTAGACCCCTTCCCTCCAATACCTACATCACCCTCATCAGCCCTTTTTCTTTCTCGCCTTGCCTTCCCCCCAGCCATCCAACTCTCCTTCAGACAACCCTTATCCATGCCATCTCCTCGCTTGCTTTTCCCAGCACATGGTCGAATCCTCCCTCCGCTGACATTGGGTATCTCGCTTGCCAACTAGCCCCGTCCCCAGTCTTCGCCATCTTCCCTGCCCTGATCCTCCGTGGTTCCACAGGCCTTGCCCGATTGCCTGTTCTACCCTGGAGCTTGAAGCAGCCTTAATATGCAAGCCGTAGCAGCATGCTGGCCGACCAAGTCCATGGACAAGCAGCAACATCCTTGGTGATCGATTCCACCTCGCCGAATACATAATCAGCAATAATATTTAGCTCCCCGGCTCCATCTCCGTTCTGGGTCCCCAAGAATTTGCAACGAAGCGACGAAAGAAAAAAAAAAAAGAAGTGGAAAGAGCAAGAGAGGGAAAAAAGCAATTAATACCATTCGAACCCACTCAAAGCGCCATCGCTGCATTTACCAACACCGCGTTCCCCCTTCGCCCCGTTGCCGAATTTCCTCGCTTCTTGTCTGCACGCGCCGTTCTCGTCTCGCTCAGACATCCCCAACTTCCATCCCCCGCGTTGGAGGTCTCCTCTTTACCGCCTCCGTCGCCGCCTCCCGACACCCGTTGCTGCCGCTTCCATTGGGACGAAACTCCCTTTTCGTCCGTCACCTGTGCGACATTTGACAGCACCAGCAAACGCCGTACGAAGCCGAACTGCCCCCGTCCTCGCCCTCGAGCTCTAACGGCCGCTCATCGTTGCAACCCTGCACCATCCCACCTTGGACCTGTGGATCTACCACCAAAAATCCCCCGCTCTCAACCTCTCATCCCGCCGCTGATCCATTTCTACGTCTCTTCCCGTTCGCTCGTCGCTCTGCCTTGCCCAGGGCTGGCGTAACAGTTGGCCACCACAGTTCCGTGTCGCATTGTGAAGCCCGCCGAAATTCCTGTTGGAGCGGCTTCGCTGCGCACCAACTTTTCTCGCTGCAGGAGCTGAAAGTCGTCCGCCTCCCAACGACATCAAGCGTCACCACCGCTCAACGGGCTTCGCACTCGACTCCCACCTGTAAGACCCGATTTGCGACTTGCAGGAATACCGCTCAGCAACTAGTATGCTTGTTGTTGCGTGGTGGCACACACATTATCCTCGGAAGCAGAATCTGATCGGCCATTACTCAATTTCGGAAGAGGCAGAAAGGCGTGCTGGCTAGGTTACGGAAAGCAAGACGTGGTGGGACGCTCAGGTGCAGCTCTGGAAGAGACGACGAATTCCGGGGACGCACATAGAATCACCAAACCTCAGATGCGGGCGGACCCCAAATGAGGACAAACCATGGAATGAGCATGGCACCACCGGGAATGGATGGACGAACCTACCACAACGGGGTTCACAACGTTACGCCGCGCCTCAATTGGCAGCAATCCCAGAACCAGAACTTGTCCGCAGACTCGTCGTCTCGCGGCATGGAACGCGTCTCAAACTCCAATCTACGCACATCATTCCGCTCTAACCACCCGTCGAACCCCACGATCCGCGCCGTGACACCCGAGTATCATCATCCGGACCTCTCGCCGACGCCGTCCGCGAACGCCGCATTCGATCCGACCGTCCCTCCTCAGATACCCCGCGGTATCACGTCGAACTCCCCTCAAACCTCCCCGAGATCTATCCCGGGAGACTTCTCGAGACGACAGGGAATGGTGTTTAATGACACATATGGTGGAAGCTCCTACGAGAATAATTCAACTAGTCCGCCTCTGAGGCAACAAAGCAGCTTTCGGCCTAGGACACATACCATGGACGGCGCACTACGCCAGCAGTTCATGAATGCTGCCTCCCGAGAGGGCCGCCAGCGTGTGGGGTCGTTTTCTTCGTCTGGATCTCAGCCCTTGTACGACGATGCTCGCTCCCCACCGCCTCCCATCGAGTCCTTGGGATTCCCCTCGGTCATCCCGGCCCGACACTCGGAAATTCCCTTAGGTGTCGCAAACAGCCTGAAAGAGAAAAAGCTGTCGACGAAACGTCTGATCAAGCGCCAGTCTTCCCGGCCAACTTCTCCGCCAACAAGCTCAACGCCTTCTGTTGATTCGCTACCCATTCCCGTTCCGACGGAAAATGCGAACAACATTCTGCTCATGATGAAAAATCTATGTGGGCGCATGAGAGGTGAAATCGAATTTCAGACCGACCCCCGGGGTCCATGGCAGCTTGGTATTGCATACGTTGACGAAGAAAAGGGAAGCTTGATGTTCGACTCAGGACATGATGGGCCATTTCATATCCCCCTCATTTCTGACCTCCGTGGATGTCGAGTTGCGCCAGTCATATTACCTGATGGGAAAAGATGTTTGGACGTTTCGTGTCCCATCCAGCCCCCGTTGGATCTTCTAATTCATCCGCTTCTAGCAGAAGAAACAGACCTCTGGCTTGCAGCTTTGCTCTGCTGGCAACAACTTCGACCTCCGAAAGTGAAACTTTCGAACGGCAATCGAAGTCCTGCGCCTACCGCCCTGCGTCCAGCAGTAAGAAGGCGTGGCTCTGAGAATGGAACCGCGAAGACTACAACTGCATTCATCAAGGTCGGCCAAGTGAGACTTTGGGACAAGGGCTTGGCAAATTCGCCGAGGGCCATCGTGAAAAGGCCCTCTACGAGGGATCTGAGATCGCCGACTACTTCTTGGCGGGTTGTTTCCCTCCTCCTTCAAGAAAACGGAGAGGTTCGACTCACCACAAGAGACGGCGAGGCTGTCATCGCTGTGGTCGAACTATCCCAACTATCTCGATGCGCTATTCAACAGCTGAACCGGTCAGTTTTGGACGAAGAGTACTGCATCGGCATTTTCCCACACTACTCTCCGATATCTACACAGCTGTCCATATTCCGTCCTGTGTACATTGCTCTGGACA